GAAGTTCTGGAAGTGTTACTGGGCGAAGTCGCATTCCTTGTACGTTATAATGTTCCTTTCAATCTTGTAATCTCCCTTAGCATTTCGATAGGAAGCACATACATTATCTACACTTCCTTCTGACGGGCAGGACGAAGATGCACATGAACAAACCCACGTGCTGACACACCAACTCCATGTCATCCGTGCACATCTTTTGCATTATGAAAGTCTCCTCGACGACTTTCGCAAAACCGTTGAATTTTTCCTTAAAACTGTCAATCCAGGCCTAGTCCAACCTACTAGTCCTTTCTCATCCCCAAGCCATGTGACTCCGCTACCATCGCAGGACTTGCGGTCATCATTCACGCCAACTTCATCTACAACCACCGCTTCACAGTATCCCGCTCCCCTTCGTTCGGCTTTGCCTGTGGGGCCGGGAGAGGCGCCATCACTTGCTGCAGCTGTAAAAGATACATTTGAGCATGTGGTTGATGAGGAGGAGGGTGGACAATCTGCTTATTCGCGTCCTCCGCCGGATTCGAAGACACCTCAGCCCAGTGCTTCAGATCATCCGAATGTCCGTGTTAGCATAGATAAGCCCCCAGAAACCGAGTCATACGAGAGGTTGTTGAAAAAGGAGTGCACGAACCTTCTCAACGAGATCGATCGGTTGGAAATGACCCGCGCAATGTTGAATAATCGACTGGGCAATGTTATGGAATTGGTGAGTTGCACTCGTGTTTGTTTGACTGAGTTTTAAGATGATCATCATGGAAACCTCTTTGTGCAGGCCTTTAGTAGTGTGAATATTGAGGACAGTCGCCGCATGAAGAATTTGGCAGAGGTTTCTGTGAGGGATAGTGCTGGTATGTTGCGAAAGTATGATGAAATCTGCGTTTCTTACACCTTTTCCTTTTTCTCAGTGATGAAACAAATCTCATATCTGACCATGATCTTTCTCCCTGCTTCATTTGTGGCGGTAATAGCGACTTTCTCCATCAGAGCAACGCCAATTGACTTCTGTTTTCTAGGCAATCTTCGGTATGAATGTCATCGAGATAAACCCTGATTCATATGGAACAGTTCCACATTATCTCGCTGCTGCGATTCCTCTGACTTTTCTAACGGTTTGGGTAATGATGATGCAGTATCATGCGACTAAACAACGTTCTCGAGCCGTTACACCTTCGAATTTGCTTAATTTTGTGCGAGTTGCTCCGAGCAGTGTTTGGAGAAAGTTTTGGACTGTAATGTGGTGGCCTCTTCGAGTGTTTTTGGCGGAACTCGCGCCGCGACGGTCAAGCCGTAATCGGAGTCGTCGAAGTTCTTGGCTCGCGCCTAGTCCTGGGACAAGCTTGAGGACGAGAGCTGCCCCTAGTCGGCCTAGATCGAATGGGCACATGCCAGATGTTGTCGGTGAGCCGTTAACCGTAGCTCGGCCGGCACCTTCAAGTTTGTACGAAGTGGATGTAGAAGTGGGGAAATAGGTTTGGACGTCCGCGATACAGACTTTCTAATATCAGGCTTTGACTGTATTCTACTGTGACCACTACCCATTACAATGATTACTCTTTATTTGTGCGAGAGTGATGTATATACTGAATCGGTAAAGTTAGTCCTCACGCCTCTGTGATAACTGAATCACATTCCGCCGAGGTCTCGCGCTGACTTTTCCTCCGAAATGTCGGCTCCAATCATATTCCCAAAAAGGAATCTTCCAGGTCCATAAGCCACGGGAAGATGAATTGCAGTGCTACGTTGCAATTGGAAGGTTGTCATTGTGAACACTACCTACTGCAGAAACTGTCCCGCCGCCTTTCCAAAGACGAGAAAATTGTTTCTCTTCTTTTCAGCTCGGACTCGACCGGTAAGAAGCGTTTTCGTAAACCGTTTTAATGGATCTGATGAGCTTTCAAAAGATCATATATTTTCATCCAACTCTTGATTAGGAAGATTGGTCGGAAGGTACATGGAGGAGCAGGATGTCACAATGAGCTCAGCAGACGCTGAGCCCTCGCCAACCACATTTATTTCATCAGACCACGAGCTCGATGTGAGAAAACATTCTCCTTTACAGCATAACGTTCAGAATGGCGTCGACGATCCACCTCCTTCACCAGGTGCAGAATCAGTGTCGACTGGAGCAGCTTCCAGCGATGACGGCGACTCGGATGAGGACGAAGATGAAGGCGCTGAGGAGAATGAACGAGTCGATGAGAACGGTGCTATCGTCATCGACGATGACGACGACGACGACGAGCGCGGAGGAACCTCCAACGACATACAGGAGCCCTCCATAACCATTAAAGATGAACCTTCCTCCTCTAACGCTGCTCCTGCGCTGCTTAACGAATCAAACAATGCTCCAAAACCCAACTCCGAAACGGTCAATAAAGCCGAAAACCATCTGCCTCCGCCAACCTCCACAGCGACTACGAAGCCAAAATCTAAGGCTAAAGCTAAAGCTCAGTCTCCTTCGCCTCTTCCCATTGCTCCTCTTCCTCTGCAGACTGTGAGGCTCGCTATAAAGCTCGGCGGACCGGACAATTATACCGTTGATATCAGTGGTCTCGCAAAAGAGTCTGGCCAGCGGCCTCTGACTCCCGTGCCAAAGCGGCAAGACGAATCTAGTGATAGTGAAATCGAGAAAGCAAAGGTTGCGGAGGCGAATCAATCGGGTTCAGAGAAACCAAAGAAAAAGGTGATTACTTTTTGTTCAATGTTGGAGATCACCGTCTTACAAGTCTGCAGAAGAAGAAAAATGTTGCCAGCGAATATTATGACGTTTCAGACCCTTTCATTGACGACTCTGAGCTTGCTGTTGACGACCGGAAGTTCTTTGCACAAACTAAACAACAGGGTTTCTATGTTTCCTCAGGAGAAGTTGCTCTAATGAAGGACCGGTATGTATTCTTTTGCTTTGCCCTTTCTGTCGAAATCTCATAATCCTCTAAGCTCACCGAAAAAACCAAAATCAAAAAAGCATAATACGGAAGCCGGGCCTTCTTCGCAACATCCCCGGATCTCACTCGAAGGAACGAAAGAGTCTCCCATTGCTCTCATGGACGATGAAGATGACAGCTCTCACATATACAACCATCAGAGTTTGGAAAATGGTCACGCCAAAGCGGGCGGAGATCGCAAGAAGAAAAACTTACATGCAGCGGGCGCTACCCATAGTCGCTCACCTTCTGCCGCACAATACGGAACAGGCCTAAATGCTCCTCTGACAGGGAACTTGGCAGTAATGCGTAAACTTAATTGGATTGATCCAGATCCAAATCATGGACATGCAGATGGAGATAACGAAGGTTATGGAGATGGAGGGGAAAAGGTTGGGATGAAGAGGAAAAGGGTTTCGTATACGACGGTGGTGGAGAATGGAAAGAAGAGGAAAATTGTGGACATTGTATGTTTCCCCTTATGCTGTTCCTCGTTGGCGTTAATCATTATATGGCCAGGCATCGTTCGACCCCGCGCTGCAGGCAAATCTTCAGCGACTTAAAGAAGCTATCGCTGCCGAAAATTGGGATCAAAAGGGAAAATTCCCTCCTTCCATTAAGCCCCTACTCGCACAAATTGCCATTCACGCCATCACCCTCGACGAGTATGATGACCACTTCTTCAATCTCATGCCAAGCTTATTTCCGTATAATAAGTTTACGATGAGCGTGGGTATTCTAATATTATCATTTGACGTTCTATGGGGAAGAGAGCTAAATTCTGTTTCAACAGAAACTCATCAAACGAACGGTATTTGCAGACCACCTCAAGCTTCTGGTTGAACGCCAAGACGCTCTTTTGACTGAGTTAAAACGACAGGCGGATGAAGGCTTTGCAAAAGCGGAAGATGAATGGGAAAAGAGTGTTGTTGCATGGGGTGAAAATAATCTCGCGTCTCGTCTTTTCCTTTAACTCATCCATTCAACTATATGTTAGATCACCGCCAAAAGCGACTCAAGGCAGACCACCGTGAAGATTCAGGTTCCACCGGTGCCCCGACGAGACATCCGACTGAGGATCCAGAAAATCACGGGGACGGGTTTGACGAGGACAACAACCCATTGCATCCGCAACTAATGAGCGGCACTGGTGATCCTGGATCAGCAGCACAGAAGCCACAAACAGAGAAGGATGTGCAGCCTCCGGCAAAGAAGTATCGCTTGACAGAAAACATGAAGGCGATCGTTTGGGAGCTAGTGCTATTGAGCAATGAGTGTTGCCGGTTGGAAAATGAGAAGAAGTAAGTAGGCTCTTGTGACCCGGATCTCGTTTGATTGACTAATTTTCTTCCAATTCCTATAGCACACTTGAAGGTTCCGTGATGCAAGTCAGTGAACAAGGACTTCGAAAAATGTTATATCAGAAAATTGTAAGTTCGTTTCCTCCAGGATGGATGTCTTCTGGACAGATCTCTCGAGATGGTATGTGGCAACTTTCGCTTTTAGTTTGGATAATCATAGCTTAACGGGCGCCTTAGTGAGCGCTATGAAGAAGAGACTCGAGAAGGAACTTGCGGAGGAGCAGGAGATGGATGGCACACCAGCGTAAAATTTGTACATCCTTTTTTCGGTTTTCTGTTGACTTTTGTCGCTTCTCAATTTGGGTTAATTTGCCCCTTCCTGGTATCATTATATGGTCTTATACTTGTGTTATTATTGTATACTTTATTACCCTCACCTTTTCACGAATGTTGTGATATTATTGTCTTACACAATGTATGCCTGCATATTCTACTTTCGTTTAATCGATTTTGACATCTCCGCCTGCCACTTCTCTCGTTCGTCTTTTCGTACACATGTTTCCTTTATTCTTCGTACGATAGACTCAGTATGATCAGGTTTAACTTCGATACTGGTTCAAGAACCACTTCAATACTAGATAATAGTGGTACGAATGATACAAGATTATAGTCCAATGAAAGCATTCAGGTCATTATCGGTAACGTCGTGAAATTTGAACGATGCTGGTGTAACCCATTCGAACTAGTGCAGCATGGCAACAATATCAGCAAAAGAAGATAAAAACCCTTTTTTAAATACTTACACCGCCTTGATCAGTTTGAATATCTTTGTCTTCACTTCCAGTGACAACGACGAATCGTCTGAGCTCCTCCCTGAAACCTCTGCTTATTTGCATGCGCCCTAATTCCTCCGTAATTTCCTTCTTAATCACATTTTCCCACTCCTCCTGTGGCATAGTACCGCAAATCCGCTTAAACTCTTGAACGCAGAAGTCCAACGTTTGAGAACGACTGCGGACATCGCTGTCGAAAAGCTGTAAAATCCAAGATGCAAATGGATCATTGTATTGAGCCTCCACTGAGAACGGAGGGAACTCCTGAGGGGGTGGAGCTGTGTTCTTGAAGGCAGTGGAAGATGAGGAGTGTTGCAGTGTATCTGAAAGCTGTTTCCATTCCTCCTTTCCGCGAGGTCGACCGTCCCTAGGTACGCCTGGATGAATAATTGCTCCGTGACCCCCGAGATTAGGATCAGAACTATGCAACGGCGGAGCTCCTATCACCGAGACGAACTCCTCGTCTATTGCATCCAGAAGCCATTCGTATGCAAAACCATCACATGTGCATGGTATTTCATCAACACCATCCTCATCCACAACCATCATAACACTCTGGGCCTCAGTGCGATGGACCCCATGCTCAAGTGCATCGCACGCGATTCGCTTTTGAATTAGGTGCTCTCTACCGCTATATGCAACCGAGACGGCCATACCGATGACAGCAGGGAGGATATAGCACACCCAGAATTCATGCTCCTCTATCTGTAGAATCCGTTCGTTCACCCCCAGAGGATCGGAGAGAAGAGCGCTCGCGGTGAACGTCGTAATTCCACCTAGAATATCGGTGTCAGCTATCGCAATTGACACCATGAGTTGGCGCATACCTATATGCCAGATCTCCTCCATAATGTCCGGGAAACGAGGATTCACAATGTCACTAGATCCATAAGCAATGAACCTTACATCGTTTCCTGCTCGATACCCCGAAAGATTAGGTAAATCTCTGATATTTCCCTGGCTTGGAGCCAATCTTAAAGAATTGGCATGCACAAAGATCACTCTCAAAGAGAGATCCTGCTTATTAGCCACGGTACCTCGGTCAATTGTAGCAGGATACTCATTCAACAGCGCCACTAGCAGTTCCCTCTCTATACTGGGAATAGGTGACAAGCAGAACGCTTCTGAATCAACTGGAGGCCAAAATGCGAAAGGTCGTTCGCCGCCAGATACCAAGTATGAATGTATAAACTCAGGAAGCTCCAGCATCCTCACGGCGTGCTTTGCCGTCGGCTTGCAGCCCGAAAGTCCTTCAAAGGGTTTGATACCAGGTTCACCGTACGCTTCATACAGCCCTTGCGGTAATCTGAAATCCCTCCGCAACCATGCACTGTCCAGCTGTGTGGTGAAGTGTTTCCGCATTTTATCTAGAGAACAATCTTCCGATTTCAGATTCCAGGAATATAATGAAACCATAAGTGCGACCTGATTTGGACCGAATGGCTTGACGCGAGGAAGACGATCGTGCTTAAGAGTTGAAGGGTAGATCAAGGTCATTGCAACGACGTTGCCCTCGACTATAACAGGCACAAAACCGACCTAACAAAAAATTTTCCAAACTATATGTTACAAAAAGACTGAAACGTATTCACCAATTTTTCGTGCGACAGGAAGTCTGCCACCTTCCCCAAATTGCGGGCACCTTGTTCTGTTTCGGCGTCAAGCCACCCCCATTCCTGTACCGGATTACAAGCAGCTACAATGCCATTCAAGTCTTCTAATCTGTAAAAGGATCTCGACTTCATTAATAACTTAGAGTCGTTGTATGACATGGCAACTTTCAACGGCATCACGCCTTGCTGCAGTGCGATTTGACCGGCGGAAGGGTCGGATGGGAGGAGCATGCCCTCTATAGAAATCGTTTGAGCCTCATTGTTGTCGTCTACATTGATCATGATTTTGCCAGTCCAAATTGAATCCGCTGTGGAAGATGTCCTGGAAAGATTTCGAGCGTCAGTAGCAATGTATGATGTCAAGTTATGTGTAGTTTATCTCACCGCCGCGAAATAGAGGGTGTAAGTGGCGATTCCATTCTAGCAGTCCTGCTATTTGTTTTTATCATTGATATGTTCATAGCTTGACATACATCTTGTGATACATACTTTGCAGTAGACATAACTGACTGGAGGAAATCCTCGGCTTCGTCATTCAGTGCAAGACTTGTACTATACAACAATTAGCATCAATACAATATTGTAAATCCGGAGATGAGAGAACGATAAACCTTATTAGCATTGGCGGTGATAGTGGGGCAGACACTACAGGATGGGCCGTTTCAATGTCCTCAGACAATTGAGTAGCCGGGGAAACCATAGGAATAATTGAATCTACTCTCGTAGATGCTGTTTGATCAATCTTTTGAGATGAAGTTTGGTCTCCAGAATCTGCCGTCCGTTTACGAGAAAGGCTGGGAGGAAGCTCATTCCCAATATTGGGGGAAAATTGTCGTGAAGTTAGACGACCGGTGCTGATGGACGAAGATGGCACAGACGAAGATGGCATATCTTGCGGAGAGTAGACCGGCACATTCTTTGGCAATAGATCTGCAGTGGTTATCGTTGGAGATGCCTTTACGGGGGGTCCACGATTCTTTTTGAAGTTCATCCCACTCAAAGACGATGCTTTCTGAGGTGGCAGGGGCCGCGATGCCTCGGCCACCTTTTCGGTAGGGGTAGTCATTTGTAAGGCCGCTTGCGCCAAACGTTGCTTCGTGGAGATGCCACCTGCAGATACGGGACTATCCGTCCTCAATTTAGTTTGTATAGACAGCTTTGGTTGCAGAGCCGGATTGTGCGCTTTGAGTGCAGGGAGGATCGGAAAAGAGGTAGATTTTTCTGTAGATAGCCCGGAAGCTGCACGAACTGGTGGTAGGCGCGGTAAACTTGCTTTTTTCTTCGCCTCTGCCTGCGCAGAAATAGTGGGCATAGAACTTGAAGGTACTGGGCTTGTATGGCTCAATGACTCTGCTTCTTTCTCTTCCGGAGATTGTCGCGACAGCTTTTGCGTCGCTGACTTCTCTGGGGTAAACAGAAATGCTGGGTCGTCTACCGCCGAAGCCTGCTGAGAAGAGAATGTCGATTGACGAATAACATAATTACCAGACATCTTACAGGTATTTCCTCCTCTTCAGTTCCTCCCTCTCTGAACAAGGAGTTGATCTTCGTATTCTTGGTAGCCTACGATTTATGTGAGATCAGTTCAATAGTCGGAATGTTTAGCAATACCTCGACTGTCTGGATCGAAATTTCTTTGAAAAAGCGCACATAAGAAATTGAATAAATATCAGGACGTACAAATTTGGCATTAGACCGTTTTCGTTTTCCTTGCACCAGGGGACGCTACAAATGCCCCAATAAGGAGAAATAGCAAAGCATAATTGAAGAAAAGATTTTACGTCTGAGTCCGAAGAGGAATCTGAAGATGCAATAGTCGGCTTCTTCACTTTCCTCGTTTTCTGAGATTTTTCTACTGCTTTGGTCGAAAGAAGCTCTGAGTCTGAAGATGTGTCTGCTTGTATAGTAGATTTCTGTGTCGATTTTTGTGTCGACTTGCCCTTCTTCGAGGCAATTTTCGGGAAAACTGAGGCGTTGTCGTTAGGTTCCTGGAACGCTACGTCAGTCCTAGGACACACACACACACACATGCAGAGCTGTTTGTACCTCTTTCACCCGAGCATATGTGGCCGTTGAGGATGATTCCATCGAATCATTCTTTGACGTAGGATTTTTGGGATTTCTCTTAGGAACGGCTGGTTTCTTTTTCTGCTCGGGATTGAACAACACAGGAGCGAAGATGTGAAATTGCAACTAACCTGTTTTTGCCTTCTCTCTTGTCTTTTTTTCTCTTGCTCCGCCTCTCTGGCTTTCTGGGCCGCGATTCTATTCTTCGTATCTGGGTTGTCTCGAACGAACCGGGCCTTTTCCTTCTCTATGTGACACCATTAGATCCATTTCTGAGGGTGAACGGAGGAAGTACAGACTAATCCAGGCTTCTGACGGAGCGCACTGATACCCAGGGTCATAATCCTTGTCATCGGTACCTATTTCCTGCCAGAACGAAGCCAGTAAGCGTTGACAATTCGCGATATGTTCTTCAGGTTCCCATCTATGAAGCAATGTTAATTCGAATGAGGTGAAGATGAAATGAAAACTAAGAGCTGCACGTGTCATGTTTCGGTTCATCGTAGCCATGCCACTGAGGACGCGTGCTCAGTTACTGCCACCAGATTGTTCCTTTAGGTGTACCTTAACAAGATATCGCTGGTATAACAGGTTAGCATGGTAAAAATATAGAAATGAGAGAGATCACACCCATTCTCCGTCATCATCAACTTTGGCTCCCTTCAAATATTCTGCAACCACGTCGAACTCAGACCTAGGGTTCAATGATTGAAAGACAACAACACGCGCCAACTTGGTACTCTTCTTCTTCATCTTCTTCCTCTTCTTCTTCCTCCTCCTCTACCTCTACCCGAGCTTTCTTTTTGGGTCGACTCACCATCCTTCGATTAAGAAGATATCGTCGAGGGTTAGATGCGTAGAAGTTCTAAATTAGGGTTTGCTAATAATGAGATGTCCTGTGATCACTTCATCGAGCTAACTTATTGGACATTGTGAGTAACCTCAGCCTCTGTGAGTAACTATCTGCATAACCCCCAATCGAAATCTTACTGTACCGTGTAGTCTTTCGGAAGATACCGTCGCTCTTACCGCACAAAACCCAACTCTCAGTTTGGAATATTTCATTTCACTCCCGAGTCATCCGGCATTTCCTTTGTTTGAATTCCGAGAATTAAATGTTAGTAGACTCGAAAAGATTTTACCCCAGACACATGAACGACATCCTGAACGCAAACACAGAACTTGAGCATAGTCGTCTAATCAGTTTCTTGATCTTACTAGCAAGAGGAAGAACCACGGCCTATTCTCCACTTCTCTCATCAAAAATCTCGTCACATCTCTTGGTTCGTGGTATGGAAGAGTATGGAAGTATGCTGCTCTTCGTGTTGATTATACTGATTTTCGTTCCCTTTGACAGTGATCATGCTTCTGAACCAACAACATGAATGTATCCGAAAGTTTAGAGGCGTTCATGTAGATGGAGAGCCGTTGAACTTATTTGTTTCGCATTCTATTCTATAGATAATTGGGTACTCTAGATTCACCAGATCCCATATGCAGGCAATTTCTGGTATAAAAGCCTGGATATAAGGGACAATAAGCATCTCCCAGGTTTGCACAGAGATGTTCAAGTTCACGCAACTCGCCAAATGTATGATCATTATCTGACCAGTATTTTCTCGCTCTAATGTCTTTCACTCCCAGTCGTGTTGGCTCTCTTTTTAGCCACCGGCACTATAGCTAGCGCTTTACAAAGTAAGTTCGACGTCGTCATACGCGGCCGATATGAACCTGACCTGACGCCAATTTTCTCTAGGCCAAAGGCGGTCTAATGACACCACTCAGTGTTTAAATACTCCAGCTTCAGATGGTCTGGCTAAACGGGCCGCTCCAGCTCTTAGTTTCGATGCCTCACAGTGGATCTGGACGCCCGAGCTATCAGGCGGTAATGCACCAGTTGGATCGCGAGGCCTTCGCAAAACCTTCGTGCCTCCCCAGGGTAAAACCCCCGCATTCCTTACTATTGCGTATGCTGTCGACGATTCCGCTATACTTTATGTCAACGGACAGGAGATCAGTACTAAGGTTGGCTGGCAAATTGCTGATACCTCTTGCATTAACTTGGCCGACTGTGGATGTGCGGTTATAATCGCTGTGAATGCGACGAATATGCCCTCTACGCCGAACCCCGCAGGACTGTTGATAACCGGGATTGTAACCTATACTGATGGGTCGACCTCTCCCATCGTTTCTGATACTACATGGCGCACAAGCGAAGGCGGTCTACCCTCCGGGTTCCAGGATCTGTCTTTCGATGATAGTACTTGGGCACCTGCAGTCACGGAAGGTGGCAACGGAGTAGCTCCTTGGGGCACTGTCGCCTTGGCTGGAATTGACCCTATATCGTTTGACACTGCACAATGGATTTGGACAAATGAAGCTTCGATCGGCCTTTATCCCCCTGGTGCTAGAGCATTCAGATACACCTCAATTCTTCCTGGTGGACAATCCTCTGGTAGCGCTACCATCATTATAGACACAGACAACGAGTACTCCTTGTATGTCAACGGTGTATTCGTCGGAACGGGTACAGATTTCACTACTGCACAAAAGTATACAGTGGAAAATGTCCAGGGCCCGCAAGTTGTCTTCGCGGTTTATGCTGAAAACACGAATACTGTCCCGAACCCAGCCGGTTTGCTAGCTGCTATTCAACTCAACTCGCAAGACGGTTACTGTGCAGACTGCGTCTCTACTTCGAGTATTGTTACATCTGTTGCCTGGAAGGCATTCCCTGGCGCAGTTCCTTCTGGATTTGAACAGCAGGGCTTCGATGACTCGAGTTGGCCTGCAGCAGTGGAAGAAGGAGCTAATGGCGTGGAACCATGGGGCACGATAGCCGTGCCGACTGCGGTGACAACTGGGGGCTCTCCTTTGCCAGGAGCTCCTGCTTGATCAATCTTAACATACCCATTCAGTACTTATACAGATCGTGCAAATCGGCATGCTCTTAGTCTATCATTTACTCTTTTGCAGTCTTTTATACGTTTGCTCCTCGTTTTCTGAACCAGTTTCACGCGGGAGATCATTTGCTTATCATTATGTAGTCGATGTCTTGAACTTGGGAGGGAAATGATCTGCTATCTTTTAGGACGGAATTTGCTTTATTTGCTGTTAACTACTGTCTTTTCTTGGATGAACTTTGCGTGTGGAGTACGAGTTGCTAAAATTCGGGGGAGGCTGCCCTGTCTTTATTGCAATCATTTGTATATGTTAGCAATTATTTCCTCGAACCAACGCGCACCAACTACTTTAATTTGGAATATCATTTACTTGTTGTGAAATTTGGGATGGATATATATAACTTGCGACTGAGAACTCTATATGTAACAAGAATTTTAACGGAAAATCTTGGAAACTTATACTCTATACTCTATCATACTTTATTACTCGCACCTCTCTGCCTTCCATGTATAACTTAACTCTACTCTAGTGTCTCGACGGCAGTCTACCTTCACCTTGCGGGTTGAGCTCGCTGCCGTTGGGTCATTGAGACTCCTTGAGACCGGCTGTTCCGTCCGGGCTTCGGATGGACCCGTGTCTATCTACCAGTGCTAAATTAGGGTTTGATCTAATCCGTTTCTCACCCCGCTCTCACTTGCGTCCCTTCCTGGTCCTTTCCTTTCCCCGTTTCCCTATATTTAAATCCGATTTACGCGTCTTGTGGCATACATACGTGTATGCTCTTCATCTGCATAATCCCAATCTTTAAAGATTGATGTTCTTTGAATCTTCGCACTGGCATCAGCATCCCATGACACAGTAGACGCGTTCTTCGTCTTTTTAAAAAATGCTTCTTCCCGCAAGAATTGAACGGTCAATGGCGAAGCTCAATAACGGTTGGATGACAACTCTCTCATCTCTCTTCCACCCGGCATTTTCTGTTGTTCAAATTCGGAAATCAGACTCAAAAAACCACTAGATCTAGAACTTGAACGACATCCTGAACGCACAACTTGAACATAGTCGTTTAGTCAATGCCTTGGCCAGAGGAAGAACCATCGATGAACCATCATAGCTCGAGTCATCCTTGGCACTTTTCCAATTGTGAAATTCATCATGTCTTTTTTCTGTCGTGGTATGGAAGTCTACAACTCTAGTCTATTGCTGAATAAATGTGCTCCTCTTCGACAGTCATCATGCTTCCAAAAACAACAGCATAAATGTATCGGAATGACTCAGAATGAGATGTTGAGCGTCCACGAACTTATTCGTTCTGCATTCTGTACTATTCTGTAGGGGCTCGAGTGCTTTCTCGGACTCGGATATTCAGATTTACGTGGCATATTTCGAAGTATAAAGTCTGTAAGCAAAAGCACAACATTTATCTTCCAGTTTTGACAAGATTTGTACCGAGATGTTCAAGCTCATGCAACTCGCCAGATGTATGGTCACTTTCTCAAACTTTTCTCGTTCCCTAATGTCTTTCATTTGCAGTCGCGTTAGCTCTTCTTGTAACCACACGGACCATAGCAAGTAGTGTGCAAAGTAAGTTCTAGGTCGTCGTACGCTGTTGATTATCGAACTGACTCCGATTTTCGTAGGCCAAAGGCGGTCTAATGACACCACCCAGTGTTTGAATACTCGAGCTTCAGATGGTCTGGCTAAACGTGCCACCCCAGCTCTTAGTTTCGATGCCTCACAGTGGATCTGGACGCCCGAGCTATCAGGCGGTAATGCACCAGTTGGATCGCGAGGCCTTCGCAAAACCTTCGTGCCTCCTCAGGGTAAAACCCCCGCATTCCTTACGATCGCGTATGCCGTGGATAATACTGCTATACTTTATGTTAACGGACAAGAAATCAGTACTCAGGATGGCTGGCAAATTGCTGACACCTCCTGCATTAATTTGGCCGACTGTGGATGTGCGGTTATAATCGCTGTGAACGCGACAAATGTCTCCAATGCGCCGAACCCTGCAGGCTTATTGGTAACTGGGATTGTGACCTATACTGATGGATCGACCTCTCCCATCGTTTCTGATACTACATGGCGCACAAGCGAAGGCGGTTTACCATCCGGATTCCAGGATCTGTCTTTCGATGATAGTACTTGGGCACCTGCAGTCACGGAAGGTGGCAACGGAGTAGCTCCTTGGGGCACTGTCGCCTTGGCTGGAAGTGACCCTATATCTTTTGACACTGCTCAATGGATTTGGACAAACGAAGCTTCGATCGGCCTTTATCCCCCTGGTGCTAGAGCATTCAGATACACCTCGACACTTCCTGGCGGACAATCTTCTGGAAGCGCTACCATCATCATCGACACAGATAACGAGTACTCCTTGTATGTCAATGGTGTATTCGTCGGGACGGGCACAGATTTCAATACTGCACAAAAGTATACAGTGGAAAATGTCCAGGGCCCGCAAGTTATCTTCGCGGTCTATGCTGAGAACACGGCTACTGTACCGAACCCAGCCGGTTTGCTAGCTGCCATCCAACTCAACTCGCAGGATGGTTACTGTGCAGACTGCATCTCTACTTCGAGTATTGTTACATCTGTTGCCTGGAAGGCATTCCCTGGCGCAGTTCCTTCTGGATTTGAACAGCAGGGCTTCGATGACTCGAGTTGGCCTGCAGCAGTGGAAGAAGGAGCTAATGGCGTGGCACCATGGGGCACGATAGCCGTGCCAACCACGGTGACAACTGGAGGCTCTCCATTGCCAGGAGCTCCTGCCTGATCAATCTTGACATACTCCACTTTCGGCGTAAAGACCGATTGCTCCGCGTAGTTCCTGTTCTTATTCCCCTTCAATATTTATCCAGATCGTGCAAACTGGCGCGCGCTCTCAGTTCATCTCTTGCTCTGTCACAGTCTTTGATATGTTTGCTTCAGTCGTTTTTTCAGACCAGTTCTTCGAAGATGAGTTATTATTGCCTATAATTGTCGAAATCTGTCGGGTCTCGGTTCTCGCGCTCTTTTGCTCTCTCTTAACTACGACGTTCGTTTTACCAACCGATGTCTTGCGGAGTACGGCCTTCTGCTTGTTTTTACTACGTTTATTTTATTTTATTGGATCCAGCCGATCCTTCAGTGTGAAACATCATTTGCTGACATCAGGCCTGAAGCTGGCTTGAAATAAAATTCTGGAGTAGGTCGGGATATTATTACGAAGCATTCTGCGCACTATCCCACGCCGGTCAAAGCTGCCCTTCTTGTTCCATCCCCAATACGGTAACGCTGTATATACCACTATTATGGAGGCAGCGCCGGAATCGATCCAAACCTCAGAGCCGAACTTCTGAAGCAACAACAGCAATTCTTGGGACCGGAGGGAATTCCAAAGCGTCACTTTCCGGCTAGTCTGAGTTGGGGTTTGAAATATAATCGACAATCCTTCTCCTCGATGTCATACCTTCTTACAATTCCTCAACACTGCGTACATTCCAATTCCTGTGCTATCCGCTGTGTCGACGGTGCCATGAATAGAAGTCTTCATCCGACATTGTATCGTCATGGAGTATAGAATCCTGACCAAACACTGAAGTACTCAAGAATCAAGCGAAAACGAGGTCCGGATCTAGACTCAGAGGTCCCGGTACAGTAGAGCACAGACCGGAACAGCGCCGAAATTGGATCAGATTGTTGAGGGTTGATGCACTGACCCTACAGAGGGTTGATGTGAATGCAGGCCTTTTTGCTAGTGGCGAAGAGGAAACGAAATATTTATTGTTGAGGAATGTGTCGGGATAGACAAGGATAGACATCGGTACTGTACTGAAATGTAGAGAATGTTGAATCGAATTTTGTGACGACGTACGGAGCGTCACGCGTCACTCCTGAATTTGCTAATCCTCAAAGAGTGTGACTGACTGCCGCGTTTTCGCGATGACGTCGATCATAACATCGAGACGCGTCTTTAAATTTCTCAATTACCAACCACAATGGACGTTCTACAAAGAATAACACTGCGGGGATGAGCCGATTTCCTCGAGGCGAAAATGTGGGTTTTATCTCGAGGTTATGTACAAAAATATGGCAGCAGATATTTTGAAGGAATTGAGCTGAGGTTATGGTAAAATTATGAAAAGATAATTTAAAATAAGCACGGCCCCCCGCCAAATTCACGATAGCTTCACAATAATCGCCACACGAAAAGTTTTAAAATTCGTGCCCAGGATTTTTGATGAATTTTGGTAAAAATCCTTGCATTTTCTCTACATTTTCACCGCGAAGACATTGGCTCATCCCCACAGTGTAATTGTTTCTTCTATAACTGTTCTCAAAGATTCCATCCTCAGCGGTGCATGGATTTATCCAGTCCATGGAATATTCTACTTCATCTCTCATCCTTCTCTTTATCACTCTATCCAACCTGTCCTAATTAAATGTCTATTTATTTCTGGAGGAATCACTGCAGGAATGTTTGCATTCACATATCTTCCCCAGGTGGCTTTTTGCGCAATATTTTCTGGTCCTTTCGCCTTTGCTGCTGCTGCGGTCATGGTTTTGGGCGAGTCCTATGCCTTGGTGTTGATGGCAACCAAGATGTTCATTTTAGAGGACGCTCAGGATAAACTTTGTATGAATATTTATGACTCTGCTTGATTTTTCGATTACTGACTTGGGCCTTTAGTCGACGCCGTTTTGCTGCAGCAAGGCCACGAGGCTCTTGTATCATCGGATAGGCCGGTGAAGAGCAGTCGTTCAGGAATTAAAACCATTGGGAAATCTGTTACGAAGCCGCTCAGTCGTTTCTCCAAGGACGGGCTCATAAGATACATCATATCTTTACCTTTGAACTCGCTGCCAGTAGTCGGCACAATAGTGTTCCTCTTTTACAATGGTATACGCATCAAAATTCTGTAAATATTAAGATACTAATCAACATTATCGTTTCAGGACTGAAGGCGGGACCTAGATATCATGAACGGTACTTTAAGCTGAAAGGCCTGGATGTCCAGGAGAGGCAAACATCCGTCGAAAGGATGAGAGGCGCATACACTGCGTAAGTAGCGAAATATTTGCTCCATCACCTGATTAGTAAATGATCTTTCTAGTTTTGGCGCTATTGCGCTTGCTCTCGATCTAGTTCCCATTGGTGGGCTTGTATTCACATTTACCTCAACCATTGGGGCTGCCTTGTGGGCAAGCAATTTGGAAAAGAAAAATAGGGGTGCTCCTGGTAGTCGTAATGCTGATTTTGGTCGTCCAGAAGGGAGCTCTGAAGTACAAGTTGAAATTGAGAGCGAGTGAGTGTACGTATACGGCTATGGGTAATCTTGTTTTCAGTCATCGGCCGTTATGGCATTTTTGTACTGCTGCGAGTCTGCGACCGGAGTGCGACGGAAATCTTGAACTGCCCCCGTCGGAATGATCGACCCCATTCTCAAATCTTTAAATAAAGCTGAGTTTCTCGAAGAACGCCTTCACCATGGCAGCGTCTTCACATGCAGAAAACCAACTTTGCTCCCAAATTTCGCAGGACGCTGATATCTTGATCCAAACTTATCTCCCGTCCCTTTCCAACGGGCCTTCAAAACAAGAAATTTCCCTTCCTTTCGCTATTCCCCAAATCAGTTTCGACGATCGTCAAGAGTCGAGTTTTGCCAGGGGTCATTGCCCGGAATTAAGTGAATTTGGGTTCACCCAGCAGGTCATGTTGAGCATTGCCGATGGCCTCAATCTCGCTATGGCTGCGAGCCCACCAATACGAATTGTTGGAGCATCTGGTCCGGTTGTCGGCTACCTGTAAGTATGAATTGTGCACCCTCATGCAACTAACTAACTTCGTCCAGGCCATATCATTGGGCGAAATTGCCGAGCACCTCTATTCATGTCGATCCCCATACCGGACATCGCTGTCTAGCGCGCTCACTCACGGACCACTACCTCCGCACAGCGAACATCAACATATTTAAACCCCGGAAACTCGTAGCGCGCATATGTACCACCTCCGCCCTGCTCATCCTCACCACCAAAGCCGAAAAACCAGACGACACAATGAAGAAAGTCGGCCGAGGAGCTCTGGCTGTTGCACGCCATATGCCTATCACGGGTCTCATCGTGCGGCAAGTATCGAAATCGAAAACGAACGAGAATAAGAAACAGAAAGACGAAGATATGTATCAACCGATTGAACGAAGGAGGTTGAGTTTGATTGAAGGACGGGCGTTGCCGCTTTCGACTGGTGGGTCACCGCCACATGCGACGCATGGTGTGATGCAGACGATGGCGAGGTACGGTGTTCACCTTGGTGGGACGCGCGCGGAGAAAAAGGAATTTGAGCGAAGGAGGGCGATGGAGGTGTTTGAGGAGGCGGGGGTGACGGCTGAAGGGGTTAATAATAATAATTACCACGTTGATTATTCCATGGGGAAGGGCGCGAGAGCGATTGAGCGTGCGGAGAGGCGTAGGAGGGGAATTGGTGGACAGGGAAGACAGGTAAAGCTGGAGATTCCAACTGGAGGTGAAGGGGATTTGTTGAGAACCTGGGCGACGGATAAGTCGTTGTGGTTTGTGATTATGCCGGTGGAGAAAGGTATGTGTTATATTTCACTGAACGATTGTTCACCTATATTGTCGTCTTACGGACTTTTTCCCCTGGTAGACATGGAAATTGAGGATATCATCTTGGCGGAGAGTGCGGCGAATGAGGAGAACGTGGATCACAAAGTTTGGATGGGGGAAATGATTTTCGAGTCGGAGGAGATGCTCGATGGGAATTGAACTCGAAGTTGCAACGTTGAAGCTCTAGTACATAGTATGTATATTTTCATTTGATAGCTTTTCAGAACTACTTTTTGATTATGGATAATATATATCGTGTGTATACCGCATGTTGAGCATGAAATGACCGCTCAATAGTATGTATGTATGTAGGAGTGGAGGGATCTATGAGAATTCTACAGAAAGATACATCCACGGAGGAATGATTCATCATCGTCGACTATTTCCCCGAGAATGCTCAGATGGCGGGGGTCTCATAACATTCAAGCCCTTGACACCCCTCAGCGCCATCATCCCAACCGCCTTTGGCGCAACCGGTGGAGGCAAAGCGTCTGTCCACCCCATCACCTGCCTCGCATATTTATTTGCTTCTTCAACCAGCTTCTCCGGGCTCCACTTCAAAACCCTCGCCTGTCCTTTGTAATATCCCAGAAATGCGACATACGCGGAACCAATAACTGTTGGGTTGTTCGTTGCGAGGGTCTGGAGAACGTTCTGGACGTGTTGAGTGTAGGTTTGGGTGTAGGTTGCGAGGTTTTTGTATTCGTGAGAGCTGGGGGATGAGATGTAGGGGGTAATGGTGGTGGTTTTTTGCATGTCGCGGGTTGTGAGGAAGGGTTGTTCTTGGGGGTCGAGGATGATGATGCCTTGGCCTTCGGCTCCGGCACGAGCGGTACGTCCTAGTCGGTGTACATATTGTTCAGCGGAGGAGGGAATGCCGATTTGGATTACGAGGGTTACACTAGAGTTGGAAAATTTCAAATCAATATTCATAATTCGACTTGAGATGTGCGGGGAAAGGACTTACCCGGGGAAATCAATGCCACGAGCAGCAACGTCGCTACTTAACAAGATAGCGCTCTTCGCTCCCTTGAATGCTTCTGCGGCCTTGGTCCGCGCAGATTGACTCTTGCGAGAATGAATTTCGAGTACGGGTGGTAAGTCCTTTTTGATCGACGGGGAAGATAGGACTTCTGTGGCAAACGAGACGTGCCGTGCAGTAGGGAAAAACACCATGACTTTGGAAAGCGTTTGGGCGCCGGTGATGCCTGGTGATAGGCTTGGAGTGGAGGTAGTGATGTGAGGGAGAGGATGTTTTATTGTGTCGAGATGGAGAAGGGCAAGCAAGGTCGGGATGTGGCTCTCGAAGGGAGTGAGAATATATGATTGATGTACTTTGAGAGTCAGAAGAATTTCTCGTTAATGAGTGGAATAAGAACAAACATAGCAAGAGGACGTACCATGTTGATGGACATTCATCTCATCATCCTTCAGGGTGGATATGAAAGTATACTCCGAACCATCATTATATTTTTTCGCTGCTTTCTTGATGTTATCAGATATTGTAGCGCTGAAGAAAAGATTTTGCCTCTTTGTTTTGGGAAGCATGTTCACAACTCCGTCCAGCTCCCTAGCAAAACCTCCGTCAAGCAATCTATCGACCTCGTCTAATATCAAAGTCTGCAATCCACTGAATTTTTCAAATACTTTGCTGCTACGAGCGCCAGTGAAGTAATCGTGGAGACGTCCAGGTGTCGCTACTACAAGGTCATGCTGGTTTCCGAGGAAATTTTCCAGGTCCCTGGCGGGGGAACTGGTGCCTCCAGTTACGGTAATGATACGGAGGTCAGATTGAGGTAGAAGAGTTTGGGCTTCTTTTGAGATCTGTAATGATTTTTTTTATGTGGGAGGAAGGCAGGAAAAAATATTACATTGTTACTGACCTGTTGGGCGAGTTCTCGGGTAGGGGAAAGTACTAAGATGGGTGTTCCTTTGGGTCGCCTGGGACTCCGCAACACTTTTTCGATCGCCGGGAGGAGAAAACCAATGGTTTTTCCTACGAAATCGCATTGTAGGATAGCTAGGCTAGATTACTATATAGTGGCTTACCTGTTCCAGTTTTTGCTTGAACGAGAAGGTCTTTTCCATCAAGAGCAGGCTACGCAGCCAATAAAAAAATTATGTGCAGACTATGTGGAGTAAGACGGTACCTCTATTGTGGCGGCTAGGTACGAGGTATTAAGTTAAGCCATTGCACTCCAAAGATAAACCATACCTTGAACTTCCGTCAGGAATCTGGACCGATTCATCAAAAATATATCACCGAGTTTTCGTCAAATGTTGCTCACTCATGCTTGATGTTTTGCCTCAACTTCGATGAAATCTGGAGCTCTTGGAATCTTCGGTCGCTGAAATGGCTGCGGTCACCCAAAGAGCTGGCAGGTCGAGACACTGTTGGGGTTGGTGCTGCCGTCGGGCTGGCTGTAGACAATGTCGCCGTGGACAAAGGGTGTTGAGTTTTTGGTTTCTTGTGACGAGGAGGCATTGGAGATATAGTTAGGAGACGAGAGAGCGAAAAAGTGGGTTGCCGCGTGAGAAGTCGCAGCATAGGAATATCGTCCAAGTTAAGACGCGTTTGACACGAAAAAGTTCAAGGCGCTTACGCGCTGATGTGTAATACGCGGCACCTATTATCTACACGTGATGTCAACGTTCTTGTCAATCGACCGACACCTCCGAACCACCATCATCTCATCCTCCAACCCTCGCTTCACGGTAAATTTCTAAACATTTATCCAAGTTGTATACCTGTCTAATATGATTTCAGCCTTCAGAAATCAATCATGCCCCCAGGAGCAGCCTCACCGGTTCATTCGCCACTACCAAAGTCCCCAATATATATGAACTGACAGTTTCTCTTCTAGATGACTTTGAAACGGATTCACCGTGAAGTCGCTGATCTGAAGAAAGAGGATTTGGGTGCGATGACACTCGGACCGTCAGACGATAACTTGTTCCTATGGAAAGGACAGATTCCCGGACCAGCCGGCAGTGTTTATGAAGGCGGGATGTTTGATTTAGATGTCAATCTCGCGTCGGATTATCCGTATGTTGATATTTTCGTTACATTCCTTGATTGTCTCTCAAAACCACTCTTCATATAGCTTTACCGCTCCCAGAGTCACATTCAAGACCAGGTAAGCCACTTGTCATCCCACTCGATATCCGAAATCTCATGATTTACACCAGGATTTACCATATGAATGTATACATGCATTCCCTTTGCTCCTCTTTTGAGCTCCACTCTCAGCCTAATTGATTCTATGCTTTCTAGATTTCTGAACGCGGCGACATATGTATCGACATCCTGAAACACAATTGGTCTCCGGCACTATCGCTATTCAAAGTCCTGCTGTCATTGTCCTCTCTCTTGACGGACCCCAATCCCCGTGCGTAGTCTACCTACTTGGTATCAATGTCATGCTCAGTTTGGAAAAAATCTAGGTGATCCATTAGGTTTGTCATTGCGTTACACATAGATAGCCTTTTATTTAGCAATTCCTCTCTTAGTGAGTTCAATAGCGAACCAGTACACATCAAACAAGAAATTACATGACTCAACCGCCCGACAATGGACGCAACTTTATGCGATGCCAAAACCTCCACCGCCGCCGCCTGCAGCTCCACATTCAAAGGCAACAGCCTCGACGAGGGCTCGAGGAAAAGCCAAAGCCTCTAACCTTCCCAATCCCACCAACATCAATTCATCCTCGTCATCGTCTACTTCAAGATCTGCGCGCCTCGGAACACAGGATACAATCACAATAGAAGACTCAGACAATGAGGATGAACATCAGTCGCGTACTAGGTCGAAAGCAGGTTCCAAGAGGAAACGAGGGGCGGGTACCAATAGTCTGGATGCTGACAGTGCGACAACTGAGGAGTCTTTGGATTTGGACGATGATGACGAAATCGAGTTTGCTGAGGCAAGGAGGAGTCACAAGCGACCAACGAGGGCTACCCCTGCGGCGCGAGGGCGACACGTGGATGATTCGGATGTTATCGTGATCGACGATGAAGATTAAATAGAAGGGTCTTAGTTTTTTGAAGCGCATGCTCTGCTATGATGCTGTACTTCCATCAACCGTATGTATCATCCTGATATTTATTATTGTATTCACAACCATAACATTTCGCATTCATCTTGTGCTTTTTTATTGACAAAAAGACCGATATGCATTCTTCCCATGCGAAAAAAAGTACAGATATCAAAGAGAGCAGTATATCATCGAGATGAGCTTTCGGATAACCCGTAAGTAATATTGCCAGCACCGTCAAGGAGAACAATCAAGGTGAAAAAGGATCGAGCAACACATTGGATGCACCACAAGAATAAAGGACAAATAGAAATATAAGGTATAGATGGGGTACGGTCATGAAGATCTGAACCCAGAAATGTGGAAGAAAGCACCAAATTACGGACACGGGGTGCCGCGAATGGATTGAGGTGCAAGTTATTAGAGGGATATCTAGAGCTCATCGCAATAAGGCAGATCATCATCGTCACCGTCGTCACTAGATGAAGAGGACGAGGCAGCCACAGAAGTGAAAGTTGAGGAAGTGGCAGAGAAAGACGTGATAGTCGAAGTAGTGACTACTGGAAGAGCAACGGAGGAAGAGGCTACGGTAATACTAATAGCAGAGGAAGACGTGGTAGGAGTAGCAGAAGCAGCGGCAGTGGCAGTGCTAGGAATTGCAGTGTTGACCGAGGCAGAGCCAGCGGGAGGAGCGGCAATGGTAGATGCAACACAAAGTACCTAGAAACGGGGATAAATGACCGGTAAGCAGAAATTCAAGGATTGAAGCTAAGGTAGGGCTAGGCTCAACTAACCTCTCCAACGTAAATGTTGTCACAAGCTGAATCAATCTGGGGATTGTTTCCATACAAGAGTGTCGCGTTAATACCGTACGCATCATAAATCGAATCGCATGTGTCCTGGGCAACAACGGTGTAGGTGGAGGTACAGTCCTCGCCTTCGTATCCGAGACAGAGGCTAGCACCTGGCTGCAGGTTGGAGCAGGTACTGTCGACTACACCAGAGTTTACTGCAGCGAGTTGGTAGCTGTTCCAGTAGTTTGAGTGTAGAAAAGTGATTGAGAAATTACTGGTGGTAGACGACACATGGGAACTCACGTAGAAACATTCTGTGCGGTAGAAATGCTATCACAAGTGTCACCATCCTGAACGGTGTAATTTCTAGTGCAAGATTGAGCAGAAACAGCTACAAAGAAGACGTTCCCCGTCAGAGGCATTATTCTCAAGATTAGAAGAATAGAAAATTATTGCTCACATTGCAGGAAGAGAGGAAGCACGACAGCGACAGCAAGGGAAAACATGACTGGCAGTGTGATGAGATCGTGGAGTGTTCAACGAATGTGGAAGTTTTGAACGATAGACTTCTTCTGGGATGGCCTGAAGAAAAGAGAGTTGCACAGGAAAACGAGGGGGAGTGCTCGTTGGTGTGTGTTGAGAGCAAGATGAGGGTAAAAAGAAAAACGAGGTGTTTAGTTGACTAGTACTGACTGGCGATCATCACGGCATCTAAATAACCGTGCAAGGCACGGCAGGGACGAAAAAAGAAACTTCTTTCCACCCGTTGTCCGAGTGACGGCCTGTGACGGCTCATGCACATGGAGCCTCCTTCTGGCCTCCTCTGAGCTCAGTTCTCTACTAGTCTCTGTTGCAGTATTGTGCTCATGGCAAAACTTGACGAGGAGCCTTTCTCGTACAAAGGCCTTCAATTTCCAAAAACTCTCTTGTGTATGTAAGAATGTCTTCCTGGTATGAATGTTTGAATTTTTTTCAGGATTTAGTCGGTTTTTCAGCGCGTATACTTTATAGCTCACTGAGCTCATTTAACTCACCACGAGCACAAAAAGCTGAAGCCGGTCCTCATGTTGCTAAGGCCAGGCTAAGGTTTCCCATCGTAAAGCAAGCTTACATCTACTTACATGTAGAGACTCGGCTATGTGTTGCCCTAGGTTGCGCCAAGGCTTCCAAGAGTATCGCGATACGTCCACTATCAGCCACTATTCTCTAGAAATTTGGCAGTTTCTTTAAGAATGGATAGCAGTGAGTATGATCATATACATTGTAGAGCATTATCAGCGTCGGTATGGCACAAGACTGGCTTTGTGGAATTTGAAAGCAAGTACTAGCAAGTCGTTGCCGGCGCGTTTTTCGTGACAGTTCGAGGTCTGTCAAGGGTGTCGTGAGCTGTCCTAGTGCTGCCCTTAAATTTCCAGAGGATGGGATATCGCAAGCACGATCCAAGCTCAGACCAACACGATTTCCAGATTTGACCACCTCAGCACAGAAGTCGCGAAGACAGTGAACTGTGAGTATGGGCACCCGCAGCAAACTTTCCGTGCGCTGACTAAGCGGGCGCCTATGCGTTAGAAAAGTGCAGCAGGATCATCATCTTTGAAATGGTGCTCGATACAGTGCAGGTCGAATAAGCCTTTGCTTTGTGCATTTCTATCCCAATCTGTTCAACCATCTCCATTTCTTCAACGGGTCGCCTATTTCTCTGACTCTTTGGTTTTTGCTTCCCTTTTTTTCAGTTCAAAGTCACTCTGAGCTGTTACGGACTCTGGAGGGACCTCATAAGGTGTGTTCATATTGTTAGCACTGCTGTTCTTGAACTATTACCAGAATTATGGCCTGCTTCTCGACGATGTCTCAACATTTATTTCCGCTTTCCACTAGGGTCCGTGTCCACTTATAGCCTTTTCCCTCCTTCCACTTGCGGCGAAACTTGGTCGATCCCGACCGAAATCTTTTCTTCGGTGGAAGCCCAAAAAGGCAAACCTGTCCAAATTCCATACCTTTCCTAATTGAGCATTCACCAGTGGCCGTTGGCACATGCTTTCACAACCGTCCATGTCCCAATGCAGCCTATCTTCGCCTCGTACATCCTATGCAAGAACAGACACCAACATGCAATCAACCTACGTGTTTTGTCGAACATACGGACAAAGAACTAGGAATTAAAGTGCGTGATCTCCCAATTTGCCTTGGTGAAACTTATCGTGTCCCTTCAGATATGAGAAATGAACTTCCTTCCAAATTACATTGATCAGTGGTCACTGCCTTGTGAAAGCTGTAGCCTAAGGCTTACTCCAAAAATGGGAATAGTATGAGATTCGTGCAGGACATGCCGAAGTCTGTCATGCGGCTCCTGCCTATCCCCGGCTCCAAAGACTCGGAGCATTGGCCATTCTTGAGATTTGGGCTTTTGTGTGCAGAACCGTGTCATTACTGACTGTACACACAGTGAAATAAAATCATTACTACCCCAAGATGCATGCGATGTTAGAGGAATTGATGAGCCAAATGTAGAGGGAGCAGACGGACTAGACGTCGAGCCCGCCATCATACGCAACGTCGCCATCCAGGTTACGACTGACATTCCTTTGTTTCCTTCGATCATTCTCACTTCTTATTGTTCTTTAAATTACTTACATGCTACCTACATACTAGCTGAGGTTTCACATACACGTCGCAGCCTCATGCACGACGATACGTATCAATAGTCCCTATATATTTACTATAGATGTACGGGACAGGATCCCAGTTTACAACTTACGAAGCAATACTACTGTTTTGGACATACGACGAACACTCGCACTACATCTGGAGCCCACCCGAGTTTGAGCACAATTCCGCCGACACGTTCAAAGCCATCCGGCATACCAGTCCCAGTCCGAACACTGCCTGCACGAGACGGTGTTCCGTCGACGTCCCACCGACAGTTTCTAAACACAGGGAGGCGTCAGTTCCAGTTCCCAGCGGAGGTGACACATCACGAAGCCAATAGATCTGACAAAGAGGCAGACGTCAGACAGCCTGTTGCAGACACACCGAACGAAGCACTTACAAGCGAGTTCACCTCTCTGGTGACCACACCCTCCTCTGTATCATCTCTGTCATCTTTATCACCATCGCCACCACCTATTGTACCTACCCACATTCCATTCATGTCGACTCCACCTCCTCGCGCAGCCACAAAAGGTCCGGCATACATGCCAGCCCCAGGTTCGACGCGAGCCCCGGACAAATTCAAGGGAAATAGCTCGCAGTTACGAGACTTTCTCGAGGAGTTTGAAGGACATGCTGTCACCCAGGAGCTAACCGACGACGAGAAAGTCCGCAGCATCTTGAAGTATGTTGATGGGATGACAAAGAGTTACTGGAAGACCTTGGATGGCTATGAGGAACGAGACTGGGCGAAGATGAAAACGGAATTGTTCGATGCTTACCCAGGTGCCAAGAAAGGTCATCGGTATACAGTAAAAGGCCTGTTGAAGCTTGCTGAGAGTTATGCACAGAAACGAATTGAAGAAGAAGCTGACCTCATTGAATACTACCGCCAGTTTCGAATCATGTCGAGGTTGTTGAAGAACGACAAGAAGGTGACAACCGACGAAATTAATCGTTACTTTTGGTACGGTATACACAAGCTAGATCGAAAGGAAATCCTGGGACGTATTGAGCTCAAAGACTCTACATTTGACAGGACTACAGTACCTGACATGGAGCTAGCCCTCAAGATGGGTCGAGAAGTCTTCAGCGACGATGTCCTGGGCATGGAATCCGATGACCCGATTGCAGAGATGTTTACGAAGCCAAAGAAGAAGAAGAAGAGTAAAGTTGTTGCCTTCGAGTCCTCGAGCGGAAGTGACAGTGATGCTGGAAGTGAATCGAGTGCTAGCTCCGAGGATGAGACAGTATATCAGAAGCCAAGGAAGAAGACCGTGAAGCAGGAGGTACGCACGAAGGTGATGGAAAAACCGCAAACAGACAACATCGAGGACCTTGCGAAGCAGCTCCGAGCATTGCATGTCCATGATGTTAGCTACGCTGGTGTCTATGCTAAGCTCGTCGCTATTTCGCCTGTCGTAGCCAGTGCCATCGCAGCACTCCCTCCGATTCCCCAGACAGCCCAGACAGCAGCTATTCCTGCCATCCAGATGACACCTTACCCGAATCCACCCACAAACCCAGCGACGTATCCAAACTCAATCCCAATGAATGGAAATAGCTATCGACGAGGAAGTCAGCCACAGAGACAAGCCTCCGGACCACTTCCGACGGACATCCTCTGCTTCTTTTGCAAGGAGAACCACCTCATCCGTGACTGCAGCCACCTTCCTGAATACCTAAGAACGAATCGTGTAGCTCAAATCGGTCGTTGGTTCTGCTGGCCTGATAACCATCCACAAGCACGTCGTCGAATCCAGGCTGATCCTGCTATAGGTATCAAAGGGACAATCGATCGTGAAGTTTTGACCACGCCGGGTTTTTAGAGCGCCAAGCCGTTACGGGAGCGGTAACGGTGGAGGCAGAATGTGAGGATGAGGTGGAAGTGGGTTCATCGAGGGTCCGAAGGCAGGCAGTGGAGATTATTGATGTGGATGCATTGGAGGATAGTGAGGACAGCGAGGATGACGATGACAGTGAGAATGTAGATGGGGAAGACACGTGGATGGAGTCGTTAGAGTTGGAAAGGCTTGAGGAAAATGCGGGGATGGCAGTGACACGTTCGGCGGGTAAACGAAAGCAACGCGAGGAGGATATCAATGAACAATCTAAAGTGAGGGGGACTCATCAGCCTTCGGATGCGCAGGTCAATCTGCCAGGACGACTCACCGTGTCTGGAAACCAGCCAGCTTTCACATACGAATCCAAAGCAGAGGATCCACTTGCTGTGAACAAGATGTTTAAGCGAATCCTTGATGTTGTTGTTCCCGACGTGACGGTGCGAGACCTTGTCTCACTCAGTGGAGACCTACGCAAGGAATGGCTGGACTATGCAAAAGTCCAACGCATTCCAAAAACCAAGGAGACGCCGGATGCCCAAACCAATATTGCAACGAGCGAGCCCCTCAAGATTGAATTTGCGACGCCGTTACGAGAGATTGAAGTCGAATTGTTTGGGGGGAAGAAGGAGCTTGCGTTGTTGGATGAGGGTTCTGAGATTGTGTTGGTAAGGAAGGATGTATGGGAAGAACTAGGTTTTAAAGTCAATCGGGAGCAGGAGATGATGATGCGGACTGCGGATGGAAGCACTGCACCACTAGAGGGATGCGCCGAGTACCTCGAAATTATGGTGGATGGGTTACGGACATGGGCGCATGCGTTTATAGTCCCCTCAGGTCCTTTTCGAGTTCTGCTGGGTCGACCATGGCAAAAGCTGGTCCAGTTAGCGAAGGTGGAGACCGACGAGGCAGTCACTGTCACTATTCACGACCCACTAGGCCGCGATGCTCCACGAGTCATCCACACCAAGCCGCGGGTTGGTCCTAATACATCGTTCACAACGGGTTTGGACACGGGGGAACGTGTTTGGAAGAAGCCAAGGTATGGGAAATCAACCGGTCCGGAACCGGCAGGCAGTTCTTCCTCTCTTGCCACGCTCTTCTTCGACTTCACTTACTCATTTCACCCAACCCGCCATGTCCTCGCCTACAAGCGTGTCGCGCAAAGGGTTCAACCCATCCCGACCGTTATGCCTGACTACGCCAAAGTGATCCGAAGGTTCCCTGAAAATCCCCTTCTTTCCCTCCCAACGCTCTCTCCCAACCCAACACAATTTACACCTGGTGTTCGCCTAACGGAGGATCGATTAGACGGACTGGGTGTGTTAACGAACAAATTTCTCTGGCCTGAAGAACGTCTACTGATGGCAGACGTATTGAAGAAGAACGAGTTGGGAATAGCTTGGGACGAAACAGAGAAAGGACGATTTCGCGAAGACTACTTCCCTCCCCTGAAAATCCCAACAATCGCACATACACCATGGGCCGAGAAGACACTACCAATACCTCCGGGAATTCGCGATAAGGTCATCCAGCTTGTCCGGGAGAAGGTTGCATCGGGACTGTACGAACCTTCGAATAGTTCGTACCGTTCGCAGTGGTTTGTGGTAGCGAAGTCAGATGGTGGCTTGCGCATTGTCCACAACCTCAAGAAACTTAACGCAATCACGGTGCGCGACTCAGGACAACCTCCCATCCTCCATCTCTTCCTCGAGCAATGTGGCGGTCGTGGCATCTATTCGGGAATAGATGTTATCGCAGGTTTCGATCATGGGACACTTCACGAGGATTCGAGAGACCCCACAACCTTTGATACCCCCATTGGAACGTTCCGCCTAGCTCGCATTCCCCAAGGGTGGACTGGATCCATCCCAGTCTTCCACGGACACGTCGCATTTCTGCTGCAGGATGAGACTGAGATCTCTCCGAATTTCGTGGACGACTTACCGGTTCTGGGACCAAGAACTCGATATGAGAAGCCAGCGGGAGGATACGAGGTGCTGGAGGAAAACCCGGGTATTCGTCGTTTCATTTGGGAGCATGCCACCGACCTCAACCGCATCCTTCATCGACTCAAACACGCAGGCGTTACCGTTTCTGCAAAGAAACTCAAGGTCGCAGTCCCGGAGCTCAAAATTGTAGGAACGGTCTGTACCTACGAAGGTCGACTCCCCGACAACAGCAAGATTGTGAAAATCCAGTCATGGCCAGCTTGTGAGTCTGTTACCGAAGTCAGAGGGTTCCTTGGGACTGCAGGAGTGCTTCGGGTTTGGATCCGGGACTTTGCAAGGATCACTCGCTCGCTTGTGAATCTGACGAAGAAGGATGCAACATTCGTTTGGCTACCAGAACACCAACAGGCTATGAGCACCATCAAGGAGGTTGTTTCGAAATGTGATGCCTTGGTCACTATCGACTACCTTTCTCCTCTTCCCGTCATCTTGGCTGTCGACTCCTCATACATTGCCTGTGGTATCATTCTCTCACAAGACAACAAGGATGGTAGACGACGACCCTCTCGTTTCTGGTCTATAGCCTGGAACGAACGTGAAGCTCGCTACTCACAGGCAAAAATCGAACTCTACGGTCTTTTTCGAGCCTTTCACGCGATGAAGGTATACCTCATCGGGGTCCAAAAACTCATTGTCGAAATGGATGCCTCGTATGTCAAAGGCATGATCAACAATCCTGATATGCATCCGAACGCAGCCGTCAACCGTTGGATAGCCGCCATACAACTTTTCGACTTCGACCTCAAACACATACCTGGGAAGGAATTCGTGGGTCCGGATGGGATTTCAAGGCGACGAAGAACAGTCGATGAAGGAGAGGAACTAGAGGGAGCTGCTGAGGAATGGGTAGATGAAATTCTGAGTGCTGGTGTATGGATAGCAGGAGCTTGGGACAAGGAGGACAAGTTTGGTGGTATAGTCGAGTATCGAGGCACTGGAACGTCTTCGGCGTTCTGCCTGGCTGCACAAGGGGTAGCATCTGACGATGTGACGATCCCTTATAGTCAAGTAGCCCAACGACGTGACAACGAGCTTCGTACGATACAGGACTACCTCACAACCTTCACAACGCCATCCTCGCTTTCCACACTGCAACTCAAGCAATTCATTCAACGAGCCTCGCGATATTTTGTCAAAGCAAATCGTTTATGGCGACGAGAACACTCCGGCCGACATCAACTTGTCATTCTTCCCCTTCCTGATCGACTTTCCCTCCTACAACAAGCTCACGACGACTTAGGGCACAAAGGTTTTTATTCAACACGACGTACACTAGCGGATCGTTTCTGGTGGCCTGGCCTTGACGACGATCTTCACTGGTTCCTGAAGACATGCCATGAATGTCAAGTTCGCTCAACCGAAAAAGTTGTCATCCCACCCTCCATCTCTATCCCAGCCACCCTCTTTCGTAAAGCTCACATCGACGTCATGTATATGCCCATGGTCCAAGGCTTCAAGTTCATTGTTCAAGGTCGCTGTTCGCTATCTCGCTGGCCGGAATGGAGAATGCTGAAGAAGGAGAATGGGAAGACGTTAGGACAGTTCATCTTTGAGGAGATTCTGTGTCGATGGGGAGGACTCGAGGAAATCACAACCGATAATGGACCCTCGATTGTAGCTGCCTTGGATTGGCTTCGGGAACGGTACCACATCACTCATATCCGCATCGCTGCCTACAACTCTCAAGCAAACGGAGCTGTTGAGGTCTCACATCGTTACATTCGCGATGGAATTGTCAAGGCCTGTGGTAGTGACATCCGACAGTGGACAAGGGTTACGCCATATGTTTTCTGGGCCGACCGTATCACAGTCCGACGGGACATTGGTTACTCCCCTTACTATGCATCACACGGCGTTGAGCCACTTCTGCCTTTCGACATCACCCAAGCCACATTCCTTTTACCCGAAATCACCTCGAAGCTCTCAGATGCAGACCTTATTGGACTCAGAGCCCAGCAACTCGAACGGCGAGAAGTGGATTTAGCTCAAATCCATGACAAGGTGGTACAGAGTCGTTTTAAATCAGTCGAAGCCTTCCGCCGTTACCACAAGAATGTTATCAGGGACTACAAATTCAAGGCAGGCGACCTCGTCTTAGTTCTCAATAAACGTATCGAAACTGGCATCTCCAAGAAGGCACTCCCTCGTTATTTCGGCCCCATGGTCATCGTCAAACGTACTCGTGGAGGAAACTATCGCTTAGCAGAACTTACGGGCGCCATATCTCGTCTTCGATATGCAGCGTTTCGCATTATTCCCTACCATTCGAGGTCGACGAAACGGATTAAGATTACGGAGTTTTTGGATAAAGAGGCATTGGATAGTATGGACAGCGAGGCAGTCGATGATTAGGTTTTCGTTCGACGCCGGTTCGAGCGAGGGCGCTCGAAATTCAAGTGAGGGGGAGATGTAGAGGGAGCAGACGGACTAGACGTCGAGCCCGCCATCATACGCAACGTCGCCATCCAGGTTACGACTGACATTCCTTTGTTTCCTTCGATCATTCTCACTTCTTATTGTTCTTTAAATTACTTACATGCTACCTACATACTAGCTGAGGTTTCACATACACGTCGCAGCCTCATGCACGACGATACGTATCAATAGTCCCTATATATTTACTATAGATGTACGGGACAGGATCCCAGTTTACAACTTACGAAGCAATACTACTGTTTTGGACATACGACGAACACTCGCACTACACAAATTTCTACTACTTCTTCACCTCTTCTTGGGACAGATTGAAATTCTAGTACTCGTTTGGGGTGATCGGACTGGAGCTAAATCGTCACGACGTTCAAATTCTAACATCCGGGACGTTGAACGCAGCGACTTGAATGCGTTGAATGGAATGTAGGTATGGGTTCCGATGTTCAACACCAAATGCCGGAATAGTAAAGAATACTACTATCAATGTGACTTTTCGTATTATCTGATCGTGACTCGTGAGTAGCCTTCAATTCTGTCTTGAATCAGAGTTTAGTTATCCCGAGAGCTCTGCTCTTCGGTTTAAATCTTAATGAAATGTTTATTCTATGTGAACAGACCCGACACTGGCGGATCCCTTTCTTTCCACTTCTCTTCAGTCACCTACTCCTCTACATACTCCAATCATCCGACACCGAAGTCCACCCCGAGATCCGAAATCATAAATGATATTCAAAGCGACGAACAACCACACGTAGAGCTGCAAAGCAACTCATTCTGTTCTGTATTTCATTCATTTGTGCATTTAGTTTCATTCTTGAACAGGATCATCGTGACCGTGAAGTGGGACCAACCACTCGCACGTTCTTGAGCTGCAGCCGGTTTGTTGTCTGTTTCCCGGTGCTCAGACTGGTATAAAAACCCAAAGCAAAATCCATGGATAATCAAGCTTTCAACCCATTTGTTTGCTTACCTCCTCAGCTCTTCAGCACTTCTTCATACAATCGAGATATGTCCTCCTTTTTGAAGCTCACTGCCCTCGTCGCTGCTGCTTTCGTTGTCGGGGCACAAGCGGAGAGTCATACCGTCACTTTCCAGAATTCGTAAGTGTTCTCGCTATTCTCTGGATTCCTGAAGTTGTAACTCCGTCTTAGGTGCGGTAAGGGTGTGGTGCGTCCTATTTTGTCAATGGAAAAGGTCGGTCGCTCAACGTAGCCACCTTGACTCAGCCCACTTTGAAGGCAAATGGAGTAACACTGTCGACTGGGGGAGCCTACACCTCCAATGGTGAGTGCCACACAATTATGGTGCCCAAGTTTTTGATTTATATCTTGTTCAACTTAGGCCCTCTGGAAGCTGCCATCGCGTAAGCCTTCTTCGAGATTTTTTAAATGTTCTGTGTGCTCAATAGGTGTTTCTGTACCCAGCTACCTTGACGTCGGTCAGCATTTCCACTTAATATAGAGATTATTCTGGTCATTAACTGGATAATGTACTAGGTTGTGGCGCCAATGGAGAAGGATGCACCACAATTGAGACCACTCTTGTCAACCCCACTTCACCTGGATCCGGTTCTAGTACTGATATTAGTTTGATCCCTCCGTATGTCTCAACTTTGCTCATTAGCATCAAGTTTTTGTTAAATTTCCGATATGATTTAGCCATGCTTTCTCGGTCACTAGTGGATTCGGGTGAGTTAGATCCGTCATCTTGTGTAGTCGGATCCCATTAATCCTTTCAGATATTACAATGGCTGCGATGGGGCTGGAGCTGATTGTATGTCAACCTTTGACTCCATTTCCGAGTTGACACTGAAAGTACTTTCAGGCACTAATGCCAACTGTCCTACTGCGTTCAAAGTACCTACCGACACCCAGGTCCAAGTCGCTTGCCAAGTTGATAATGTAAGCCATTTCGAATCGCCTTTCATTTTTGTTACCGACCTCCATATTTTACCACAGGTTGACCTTGTCATCACTTTCTGTGATTAAGCACCACACAGACAATCTTGATCTGAAAAATTCTTGTCAGGCTTTGATTCCTTCCAGATATTGATAGATTCCCTGTACCTACATCTAACTAAAGATGGTACGGTGTAAAACATTTGTGTCTTATGCTCATTGGACTGCGTTACAGTTTGCGAGTTTCAAGTGTAAACCCTGAAGTTGTGTTTTAGTCTCCTCATAATATCTGATATCCTCCGTGACGGGTCAAGATACAGCGCAGTTTGGTATTGAGTCATACAGGTGACAATACAAGTACCTCGCCATCTCACTGTCTACATACCAATGGCCTGCCGCCTTTGCGACCTATATTTGACCTCACAATCTTCATCTCTACAATTTTCCCCTAAGTTCACTGTCCAGCACCTTCGGTGCTAGCCTCACCACCCATTCATTGCGACTACTTGTCCTAGTGAACCAAAATTAATACTGAGGATGTTTCAAGTTGGAAGCCTCTCTCGGACATTCTCATACACACATGCCTGGTCCATAAACAAACCCGCTTCTTCCATACTCATAACCAGCTTATGTCTACCCGAATAATGTGGATAAGTACTCGTTTAACTTAGCGCGGCCGGCAAACGAGAGCGGAAAGTTGCAGACAGGCATCTAGACTCCAGTTCACGTTCACTTACCTTTTCTGAAACCCGCTTTCATATGGTATCTGCATACAAAGAAGCAGACCCCTCGTTCTCCAACAATCGAGCGGGAACTGGCAGTTGATAGATCTTTTTTATTTGCTCCGCCTCATTCAAATTCCAGCCTCTTTTAGCACCTCCTTCATTCCAAAGTTCGAAATGACCTCGATTGAAGCTATTTGTGGACCTTTGAGAGCTAAGGGCCATTGTCATTCGGCGATGTGCTGTGGTAAGTAGAGCCGAGAAACAACTTTTTATGGATATCATTTCTCGATATATCTTCATGATGAACTTTCGACAAAAGCCTGTGAGCATGAGGGGGTGGGGTCATCTGGTACTAGCCAGGTTGAACCTTCGAGCCATTGGTAATTATTCATTTGGCCGTGCTGGAACTGATATAAAATCCCGAAACAAAATCTCGAAAAGACGAAGAAGCTCCCAGTTTGCTTTGCTTCCTGTGTGCCCCCCTTGCTACACTCAGGATGTTCTCCTTCTCCAAGTTTACTACTGCCATCGTCGCTGCCTTTATCATCGAAGTTCAGGCTCAGGAGACCCACACTGTCGTTTTCACAAACTTGTAAGTGTTCTTCTTTCATGGCTTTCAAATGATATTCTCTCCACAAAATTACTCCCCTTTGAATCCTTACCATATTTGTTTTAATTCTAATTCTAATTTAGATGTGGTACGGGTGTGGTGAGCATTGTGTAATTCAATGGAATAAGTCGTTCGCTTGATGCGTTCACATTAGCCTACTCTGAAGGTAAACGGTGCGACATTGTCGACTGGGGGATCCTTCACCTCCAATGGTGAGCGTTGCTACCATGCCTCAATCAAGCTTCGATTAATGGCTTTGATCAAGGCCCTCTGATATCTGCTATTGCGTGAGTCTTAGTCTTGGAATCTACAAAATTCTATACACTCAATCGATTTCTCGACAGCTACCTCGATGTTGGTAAGCTTTGAACTGATAACTTGAATCGGCTTTGCCTACTGATTACTGAATATGATTAATGCAGGTTGTGGTGCCGATGGAGAAGGGTGCACCATGGTTGAGACCACTCTTGTCAATCCCACTTCGCCTGGGTCTGGATCTAGCACTGATATCACTTTGATCCCTCCGTGCGTTCTGGTTTTCTTCTCGAGGATGAGAAGCTGATGTTAACCGTGGTTGTCTAGCCACTCGTTCTCCGTCACTACTGGATTCGGGTGAGTTCCGCCTTGAGCTCTTCAGAGTCAAACATATCTTTTTGTCAGATACTTCAATGGCTGCGACGGGGCAGGAGCTGATTGTGCGTTGGTCACTCTTCATAGTTTTATTGGTACTGCCACTGAAATACTGTCTAGGCACTGATGCTGACTGCCCCACTGCATTCCATGTAAGCACCGACACCGGTGTTCAAGTTGCCTGTCAAGTCAATAATGTGAGCCATAAATGCTGATTATTTCGTCTGCTTATCGAAACTCGTCCTTTATTATAGGTCAACCTTGCCGTCACGTTCTGCGATTAAAATGAATGTAGCCAATGCTGGTTTGTAAACTTATGCATATTGTGCACCTTCCAAAGTTTTTTGTTCCTGCTTTGCTGTGTCGAATTATGTATATGAAGATGTCCTTGGAGAATGTGCTCTGAGATGCATCTCGATGACATTTCTCTAATTAAGCCCTAATCCAGGACCCCAAAAGGTCTGATTGTGATGCTGCCAGCCACTAGCAAGTAGCTTGAGTATATTTTCATCTACTTGCTGCATAGCCCTTGGCTTTGATCAGCAGTGCACTGAAATTTTGATAATGGGGAATGAATGGTGCCAACTTAACCGCGGCCGGCATTAAACGAGAGCGGGAACAGGGGCAGTTGTAGTCAAAGAAACGGCAGGACCAGCCGCCACCCACTCCTCCACACACTCAACGTCTTCATCAGTGGTACTTCGCTTCTCTCAAACCCGCTTTTACATAGCATGCATCTGTATACGGAGGATCAGAACATTCGTTCTCTCACACTTGAGCGGGAGTTGACAGTTAATAGATTTTTTACTATTTTTTACTTGCTTGCTCCGCGTCATTCTGTCTCATTATAATTCTTATTCTAGCACTTTCCTTCATTCCAAAGGTCGAAATCATCTCAGTTCCCTTGAAGTCTATAATTGGCATTTAGTCATGAGTCTCTGCGGCACACAGAGTTGAAAAGTGGCTGCGCCTACTATCATACATCTTGATGGATGAAACTCTTGAGGTTCATTTGTATCACATAGGTTCAAGTTGTGCTTTTGGGCCAATGACTGCCATTCATTCTACTGGAACTGATATAAAATACCGAGACAATATATAAAGAAAGACGAAGAAGGCTAAGCTCCCAGTTTTTGCTTTCTCTGTGGCCCCCTCATACACTCAGAATGTTCTCCTTTTTCAAATTCACTGCTCTCGTCGTCGTTGCTGCCATCTTTGGAGCCCGGGCTCAGGAGGCCCACACTGTCACATTCACGAATCTGTGAGTGCTCCTCTTTCATGGTATTTGAATTATAGAAATTTCCATCGACGCAATCAATATGCTGGTCTTATTTTTCTAATTCTGACTTAGGTGTGGAACGGGTGTGGTGAGTTCTATATAAATTCATAGGGTGGTTCAATTCTTTGATGCATCTACTGTAGCCTACTTTGAAGGCAAATGGAGTGACGTTGTCGACTGGGGGACCTTTCACCTCTAGCGGTAAGTGTGTACACAATCATTTGCTTCCCTTAAATTTTGATTGATATGTTGTTCCAAGGTGCTCTGATATCTGCTATAGCGTGAGTCTGTCTTGAATTTGCAGCATTTTATGCGCTCAATCGATATTTCGGCAGCTACCTCGACGTCGGTAAGTTTTCACTGACTGTTGGGTTTGCACTGGTAAATCTGATTGATGTAGGCTGCGGTGCCAATGGGGAAGGGTGCACCACGGTCGAGACCACCCTTGTCAACCCCACTACACCTGGGTCTGGGTCTAGTACTGATATCAGTTTAATCCCTCCGTACGTTCCGATTTTCTCCTCGAGCATGGCGGTAGGCTTAAGTTAAATCTGAATGGTTTTAGCCATTCGTTCTCCGTTACTACTGGATTCGGGTGGGTCCTACCTTCAAGACAACTTCGAGTTCCCCAACTTAATCTTTTGCTGCAGATATTCCAATGGCTGTGACGGGTCAGGAGCTGATTGTTCGTGGACGTCCGAACAATGCTACATATAATTCAAGTTGAAGTACTTTCTAGGCACTGACGCCAACTGTCCTACTGCTTTCCATGTCAGTACCGACACTAATGTTCAAGTTGCTTGCCAAGTCGACAATGTGGGCCATTTTGAATGCTACTTTCGTGCGGTCACTCATCCCTTATTACAGGTCAACCTTGTCATCACTTTTTGCGATTAAACACAGTACCATAGTATATAGCTAGTGTATATCAAGCTCGTGCGCTTTTTGCATCTTAGGGAATTGCTGCTTTGCGGAGTTTAACTATATGAAGCTGTTTTTGAGATTCATCTCGATGATAATTCCTCTTATTTGTACCTTTTCAGGGACACTAAAGGGCCAGGAGCCGGATATAGAAGAACGTACAGCTGTGTATTCGAGAGCTCGAAACTCAGTGCACATAAGTAGATATTGATGATAAATAATTGAATTGAATTTAGCAGGGCGAAGGAGGAAGGGATATATTGTTAGACGCCCGGCGCTTGCTTCATGGCACCCTCGACGTCGTTTGTTCGAGACTTTGTCAAACCTCTTCCTTTTCGTTCTGCCGACCAAATTGACCCAACCGCCGCAATAGGACGGCTTCGACAGCTAAAGGGGGATGTACATCATAGTAACCTAGGGTTAAGTCAAACGACACAGAGCGAAACGCGCGAAGAACTTACTCACCAAATTCTTGCATCGTTATATTCTCAATATCTCCAGAGCACTCTTTCGCAGGCACTAGAGGCAGAGACAGAAGCCCAATGGTGGTCAGATATTGAGAGAACGAGATGGAGAGTGTTTTGGTATCTGATACAAAGTAAGCCTATCCACTGCGACGATGAATACGAATGAACTGGTCTCCAAGCACTTCCTACCCGAGTCTATGACTTGCTGCAAGCCACGACCGACGCCACGGGGAGAAGCAAATGGCTGGCCGCACGGCCAGAGTTTATGGTCGCGTCTTTGTTTCCTCATCTCCAACAACGCCCACGCCTGCATCAACTGCGAAGTTTTCAAAATCTAAGAATACGCAGCCCAAATACCAACAATATCCGACAATTCATACAAACATCCATCCAATCCATTCGGGACCTCCTTCAAACCCTCCGAAAAATATCCCTCGTTCCATTATACTACACTTTGCAGGAGGTGTCCCTCAAAAAGCACGAGTTGTTACGAATTCGAGATGACCGTGCGCAAGCCCTAGGGTCACTCGTGCTTCTCAGACCAGAGATGCAGAAATTCCTGGACTCCGGACTCGTGTCGTCCGACGGCGAATCAGAACAATTGATTCATCTCACTAGAAGTTTACTTCTGGCACTCAATCCCGAATCCATCCAGGATGAGTCCTACGCATCTGACGAGCCATTCTCCCAACTTTCTACCCTAGCAACTCGCTTTCAAACAACTTCGCTCCAATTACGCACCCTCGGCCTCTCTCGACCTTCGCGTTTGACGCGTCTCTGGCCACGTCTAGTCTTTGGACCGCCTCTTCTAATCTATTCCGCATATTATCTCTATTCGACTCGCGGGACGTTGCTGCAGTTCGCATATGACGCGAAAGATGTGGTCAAAGGATTTGTTATTGATTGGTGCGTCAAACCCTTGGCTGGCGTACTTGATACCGTCAAAGCATCCAAATCTGATCAAGCTGGGTGGCTGGTTACGAAAGAGGGAGTGCAGGCGGATTATGAAGTATGTCCAGCAATCGTCACTTCACTCCAAACGACGTTGCTCATTCTGTGTTACGTGCAGTCTCTCGAACGTATGGCTCGATCGCTAGCCTCTGACCATCTCCGATATACTTCTTCTCAATTGGACGACCTTTCGGCGAGAATCCGTCTAGGAGATCTGACTCCGGTGTTAAAACTCTACGAAGAGGATATCAAGAGTCCATTCAAGAGTGCGGTGGGCGGGACGTTGCTAAGGACCGTGTTCATTCAGGTAAGCCATAACCATATTCGTGCACCTGATACCAGTCTCTCCATTGACGAGCGTGCATTCGGTAGAGCTTGTCATGACTTACCCTGATTTACAGGTTCAAAAAGCCAAAGTCGATCTCGACCAGGCACTTTCCGGTATCGATAGATTGATGAAATCTCAAGAACTCACATTCGCTTTCGTCGGTCTATCACCGGCGCTGGCTATCGTCTATGTCATCGGTGGATACCTGAGACGAATGATCTGGTCTAGTAGTAATGGTATGTTTTACAGTCCGTGTTGCTTTCTGCAAATCTCCTGCCTTGTCATCTGCGGAGTAAAAGCTAATGAGAGTGTTTTCTCCATTTTTGTTGCACAAGACAAAGGCAAATACGGCGGACCGAAAGAACGAGAAAGGGTATTCTGGGCTATGAGGAGGGCCGAGAGGCTCTTGGTCCTTGATCAAAGCAGTTCTCATGCTATCGCTGCAGGCACTCTCTTTGATTTGAATGTAACTACAGCGGCTAGTACTCAACCTTCAGCACTCACCACTGGCCTCCTGATTCTCTCGCTGACGCAGCTGAGGACATTCGCGGAGAGGTATCTCCCTTCTTCGTCTTCTTCGCCTCCGAACCATGATGTTAGTGTTACTAGCATAGATGGTAATACCACAAGCTCAACCTCCACGTCGTACTCGGCAACATCCCTACGTGAAGCTTTCCTCGAGGATCTATCGGACTTGCAGGACCCTGAGCTGGGGGTAGATCAGAAGCGGATAGTGGTGGAGAGGATGTGGAGGTGTTGGGGCGGGACAGTTTTTGGCCGAGTTCTGTAGAGGGTCGTTAGAAGTAAAACGAGTTCGATGTTCAAAATTATAGAGATCGATCCCTATCAAGGTAAGTCGTGGAAAAATGTTGGTGAATAGGCGCCACCTCATGAAAGTCGCAACCTCAAACTGCAACCTTCACCATATATCCTTTTGCATTTTGGAGCATAACTTCGCTGAGTAAGGTATAATTTTTTGTCCTTAGTGGTAATGTCATAGTCGCGTCTCCGAAATGCCCCGTGTTGATACTCCGTTGAAATCTTCGCTTGGATATGAAGATCTTGAGGGTTCCGACAACTTTTAGGCACAGGATCGTTAGAAATTGTGAACGCAGCTCCAAATTGGCCTCAAAGAGCGGTTCTCGGATACACCAGACCTTCATCCAAATCGTTGACGTCGGACGTTTAACTACAGGCCGGATACGTCCCTACCTCTTCAAATGAGCTTTTTGAAATCCTCCTCTTTCTCAGTAACTCCAAAGCTAGCTTTTTGACTATTATGAAAGGCTTGCAATTGGACCACATTCCTCCGAGATATGAAAAAGGCACGAGCGCTCGTCTCTCCCATTCAGAGACTCCCTCCCGAGATTCTCTGCTTCGTATTCCTCGAATACATTCGTAATGTTCCCGAAAAGTTCAAACAGCGTTTGTTCTTCTGTTCTCTCGTTTTGGATGAAGAAAAATCTCTATACTGTCCCACAGTCCAGTTGTGGGTTTGTTCATTGTGGCGTAAAGTCGTCTTGGGTTGCCCTCTTTTTTGGTCCTTGGCAGCCTCAGTCTCCCTCGCTGAGGAGGGCCGCGGTGGATGGGACACTTACATGCACCAATGGCTGCCCATACAATCTGAATTCGACGCAGAGCCTTCTCTTTTTCCCAACCTGCAATTGTTAATTCGCGAGTGAGGAAATCGCTTTGCGCTCGTCTTTCCGACAATTACGTTTCCAATTTGGTACAGCAACGCATCGCTACAACTTATGAATTTTGTCGGTCCCCACACCTCGTAGTTCGTCTCGGAAAAAGTGGTTCTATGAACACACTGGCACATCAATATTCCAAGATATTCCATCCCCGGGCCTTTCTCCATATTTTCGACGATGTTGAACTGGACACCTACGAAAAAGCTTTCAGAAGTCCACCTATTCCTCGAGTCTCGTGTTGGGCGAAGGAAAATCTCTCTGTTGCCCTACAATTCGAGTTCTCCAGTAATTTCACCACCGTCTCGATGGGATGCCGGGGTCTGTCATGCGGACCCGCGACTACAAAGCCTCGGAGCACTATTCATTACTATTTGGGTTTGTATTCTTGTGGTATTAATTAATATCGAGAGCTGAATTAGATATACAGAGCTTTATAGGCCATTATATCCCGAAAGAAGTGCGACATGGGACTTCAAGGAAGTGCGACGTTAGAGGAGTTGATGGGCCGGAGTTCGACTTCTTCTCCTGTTGTACTTGTTTGGGGCGACTGGACAGTGGAATAGAGCCCAATGATAATGATACTCAGATCATAATATCCAGGATATTGAACGCAGCAGCAATGACAATGCATGTTGGTATGGATTCAGACAAGACGGATTACGCTTCTTGTATCATTTGTTGTGAGTAGCCTCTAATGCTGTTTACGCACTCAATTTACAGTTGCTCACTATGTTCTCAAAGAAAAGGTCCGACACTGGCGGATTTCTTGTAGTCACCTACTCCTCACTCAATCGAAGTCTATTCTGAGATCCGAAATTATGTATGACATTCAAAGCCGTCATGATCCTGAAGTCCAGAGCTGTGACCGGTTTCCCGTCTGGTATAAAACCCAAACCAAAAACCAGGGATAGTCAAGCTTTCAACTCATTTGTTTGCTTAAATCCCTAGCTCCTTCACATGATCAAGATGCCCTCCTTTTTGAAATTTGGTGCCATTATTGCTGCTGTTTTCATTATCGGGACACAGGCGGAGAGCCATACTGTTACTTTCCAGAATTTGTAAGTGTTTTCGGTCCCGCTCTTTGGAGTACGGATGCTTGAAGTTGTAACCCTGTCTCAGCTGCGGTATTCCTGGGGTGGTGCGTTCTCTTTTTTTGTGGGAAAAGTTGGTTGCTCAGTATGGGTATTTTATTCAGCCTACCTTGAAGGCAAACGGAGTGACATTGTCAACTGGGGAAGCCTACACCTCCAATGGTGAGTGCCATTGTAATTATAATACACAGGTTATCGATTCATAACATCTTTCTAGGCCCTCTGGAAGCTGCTATTGCGTGAGCTTTTTTGATCTCTTTGACATTTTGTGTGCTGATCTGTGCTCAGCTACCTTGACATTGGTCAGCATTTTAACTGAACATAGGGTGGGTGCTAGTCACTAACCATGTATGAGGTTAGGTTGTGGTGACAATGGAGAAGGGTGCACCACAATCGAGACCACTCTCGCCAATCCCACTTCACCTGGATCTGGATCTAGTACTGATATCACTTTGATCTTTCCGTACGTTTCAACTCTTCTCATCGAGTGTTAAGCCTTGTTCAATCTTTGAAATGGTACAGCCACTCTTTCTCGGTTGGTACTGCATTTGAGTGAGTTATGTTTTTCATCTTTTGGAGTTGGATCATATTCAATCTTGTTCAGGTACTACAACGGCTGTGATGGTGCTGGAGCTGATTGTGCATCAACTTTTGAACTTCATCTTTGGTTGATGCTCAAAATACTTTTTAGGCTCTGATATTGACTGCAATACTGCCTTGAAAGTGCCTACCGACACGCAAGACCAAATTCAATGCGAAGTCGATAATGTCAGCTTATATTTTAACTAGCCCTTCATCTTGATTACTGATACACATATATTTATCTCATGGGTACTTCATGACAGGTCAATCTTGCCATCACCTTCTGCGATTATAGTTAAACAGCGCACATATAATGCAGACAGCCTCGCACCTGAGGCCTGGTGGGTGAAGTTTTCGTGGCTAGAAAGTATATAGGGAAATGTACGGAAATAAATTATAGCCACATTAAATCAAATCCTTTCTGCATAAGAGAATAATCTGATTTTATGGCTGAAAAATGAATTCAGTCAGTACTTCAGGACTCTTCAATTCGATTAGTGAATGTAGCGCTTATGGGCGCTTATAAACCCCATACTGCAGTCTTTGAACTCTGGTGATGCATATGGTATCATCACTAGCAATATGTATTGAGTATGTACAATACAATTGAAGACTTATGTATCTTTGACTGCGAGTTCTGCACGTTGGGAGAAGGCCGAAGGCCTTCGGGTCCCAGCAGACAATGAGGTTCTAAGAAGGTATGCACGGTCAGCTGCGATGGGCGGGAGGGCGACCAGCAGCTGAGTGCTCTCATTGCGCTCGGACTGCGACTTGTCTCGAACCTTGACTAGAGTTCCGCGGGTGTGCACCTTGGATGAGCACCCGAGATGGGAGAGGGAAGGGTGAGTGACAAAAGGGTGGGAGGGTGTGGAAAGAAGAACTAATGGAGCTACTAGGGACTAGTACTGCGAGGCTTCAACGTACGCGTGTCGATGCGGTACCAGCAAGAGCAGGAAGTACCGCATCACGTGTCCGTTCGAAGACTCTAATTTGTCGCATCTCCTTACCTCGACTTACAAATTGCCAGCTTGCTTTTTAAGCGCCACCCAAAAACCCTTTCAACCGTAACCATCATCAACTCCTAACAACAACGGATTGAAGAGAAACAAGGTAACATTTCAAACACTTTCTATGTGTTATGATCTTCTTCCTTCATGATAACTACATAGCATCCTTCTCCACATAGCATCCTTCTCCACATAGCATCCTTCTCCCCAAAATATTACTTCAAGTATGAAGTCGATGAAGGCTTCGATAACCTCGTAGGGCTTATTTGAATTTCATCAGCCCCGTACAGCGCGATTCACATCGGAAAGAACGGTTCTGGACATACATCAATCCTTTATTCATATCATCGATGACCGACTTCGAACTGGATACGTCCCTACCTCCACGGAAGAGCTTTCAGAAGTCCACCTATTCCTGTCCGATGCCGAATCCAGCCTTGGAGATCTCGGCCAGGAAGCCTTGGACGCAGAACAAATAGAAGGTCGAGAAACTCTACTGCGAGCAATGGAGAATGAATGCGCGCTCCTGTCTCCCATTCGAAAGCTCCCTTCTGACATACTCTACATGCCAACTGCATTCGTGACGTTCCCTCCAGGTTCGAACAAAGTTTGATCTTCTCTTCTCTCGTACTAGGTGACGGAAGATCACTGTATTGCCCTACAATCCGATTATCCTGGGTCTGTTCATTCTGAGGTAAAAGGGCCTTGGGATATTCTTTTCTCTGGTCTTCTGTTTCGATTTCCCTCCGCAATATTGTTCAAAAGCCTCGCAGACTCCTATTATTACATCACTATCTAAAGCAATCAGGGAAAACACCCCTCGATTTTATTCTTCGCGAAGGTAGTCTAAGAAAAAGAAAAGGGAGGGAGAATTCATTTGAGGACTCCGATGAAGAATCTAATGAAAACTCTCATGAATTCAACGAGGGATTCAAAGAATCTTACGGAGTTTTTGACAAGCATTCATTGGTTCATGCTGTATTTGATGAGCTTCTCGAACACCATTCGAGGTGGCGCAGATTTTGCCGAGAGGATCTCTGAGTCGATTGGAACTCCTACATGGACCGTTGGGTGAAGAAGCAGCCTGCAATTTAGGGGGTTGCGCTCTTTCCAAACCTACGAATGCTGTCCCACTACTCACTCGCAGGCCTTCCACTCGAATTACTCAGATCGTCTCCGCAGTTGCCAATCTTCCATGGATACATGTTGGTTCCCTATCACGATCCTGCATACGATCGATATCTTCATGTTTTTTCTCGCACCTCACCGAGGTGGCCGTTAACGCTCCCGTCGGTATTGGGCTCGGCAAATTACTATGTGGCATGCCTCTGCATGCCTCTGCTCAAAAAATTCACATTGGGCACTTTCTCTCGCACTCGTTACCTAGGCCATGTTGAATTTGAAAAGAAATATTCATCGAACATCACAACATTATGTCTGTTCCCCGAAGCTATATTGAATACGAAAGATTGACAATCTCTTCAACTGCCCTGCCTCAAAACGGTGGAGTTGAAGGGTTACGATCTAGAATGCGAAGATATGGATGATGAATTCGTGGCGGAATTTTCTGATGCTCTTTCTGAACTTTCGGGGATACTTTTGGATGCTGGTTCTGTCTTGGAAGTGGCGAATCTCAAATGGATAATGTCAGAGGGCGCTGTTGCATTTTCTACTCCTCACCCATCGATAGGACGGCTCTCTCTCATCGGATGACATGTAGTACGACAGTGATCTCCAGAAACTCATGCATAGATTTGATATCACTGGAAACAAATCTATTCTCTTGCCCAAATTACGCTCCATTTCTGTTCTGGTCAATGACCTCAGCGAAACTGGAACGCGTTTGGGATACGATTTCCGTCTCAGCGTTGGATCGCTCTCGACCAGGGACCCTTCATATGCAGACGATATGCACTAGTCTGGCCACCTTAGTAGGATCAAGAACCAATTCCTTATCCGGGTCAAACGGTCTCGTCAAACTGGAAACACTGATCATGGAATCCAAATTCTGGAGAACATCAGAGGGGAAATCACTTCGCACCCGTCTATCCGACAAAGTAATGGTTCTGTAAAAGAGATGATTTCGAAGTATATGACCTCGTTTACTTACACTTGTGGTCTCCGTTATATTAGCGTCGGTCGGGCGCCAAATGACATCATCATCATGACAAATAAGCAACGCGTGTATTCGTCGATTCTTACTTTGTGCTTTTCCTAATTTGCACGCTGCAACGTTCGAGATCAGAAATCTGGAAAGGTTACTTTCAAAATTCTGGCATTGAGGACTCTTCCAGGAGTCTATCATCGTTCATCCAGTGCCAGAACAAAAGGTTGAATGATACCCCGACTCAACCGAGTCAAACGAACTCTCGAACCAGCCAGAGCTGTGCCTTTTTTGGCACAGGTAGTTGCTGGAATACCGTCCTTTTCATCTCCCAACTCCACAGTATCACCGTATTCCGCTTGTACAAGTCAAAGGCTAACATGTAGCCTATTTTCGCATTCATACCACGAGCCCCTGTGTGCGCGCAATACCTGCTCAGGTGTTCGATATATGAGCAGTTCGAGTGCAGATTCAAGTCATATCAATTTTGATTCATCTAAAGGAGATCCTGGTTTTGGTCTTGGTCTACGACACGCCAATCCTCCTGACACACATCCGAATACTTCCCATCTCCAATATTCTACGCCCCCGGAGCATGACGAGCATAACTCCAAGCCTGAACTTGAAGAGATTTCCGATGCGGAATGGGAGCTACGTACAGGTCAGTCATCAAATCACATTCTGATAGGAAGTAAGTTGATATGCTTCTTCCAGGCCGCACAATCGATATTCTCCGCTTGACCCTCCCTACGTTCTTTAACACCGGCTTAATGACAAGCTGGGACCCAGAAACTGGCGACGCCTATCCTTCTCCTGCATTACCGTCCCTGCCGTCCTTACCTCATTTACCCAATTTACATCTGCCCCATCTCCCTATACCCCTACATATTTCGCCCCATCCTATAAATAAGGATGCGGAGAAGCAAACGAATGGAAAAGGCAAAGAACGTCATGAGAGGGAATCGATATATTCCTCTCGTATTCGCCTAGCCTACACTCCTCCTTCACCGCTTCCCCACCCATTTCCGGAAAAATTAACCTTGGATGGTGAGTCTACGACGCGGGTTTTTCTATTTGTGATAATACAGAGGACTTCGTACTTTATACTTTCCTTAATCATCTATCATTTGTTTTTTATCCGTCAATGCTCTTACATAGTCATTTCAGCTGCTCAATGTAGTTTTCAGGTAAACCGCTCTACCTAACTTCCGCGGTCTTTGTCCGACACACGCTCAATACTCTCTATTCTGACTTACGGGTAACGTTGGTCAAGGTCGCTGTTTCGGTTCCCAGAGGCAAGTCGTCATCAGAATCGGATTCAGAATCAGGAACGATCCCTCCACTACCGCCAAACCCAGAATCAGATCCTGAATCAGGTAACTCAGGTTCAGTCGAAGGATTTGACGACCCTCTCACCAAAAACTCTGGGTACAAGAGGGAGAAATCTCTCTATATCTCCCTCCGAGTCACTGGTACCTCTCGCGTCAGTGGTGCCCTCGGACAGTGGGAAGTCAAGTCTACGTATACCTTTTCTCCATTGAACGCGCAGATCATTAAACATACTGTGAACGGGATCGAGCCGGCACCAGAGAGGGGTGTGTGGGAAGGGCTGGCGAAGGTTTTGGGTTTGGGAAACATTGGGGAAGGATTTAATGGGGGAAGGCAAGGGGAAGGAGCGCTGTCGGGTTTCGGAGGTCATAGTCGCTTGAAAGCAGGGGAAGGTGGAATTTGAGGGAGTTGGATGTGCTTTGACTGATAGAGTCAGGACGAAGAGATCATAGGTCGCGAGCGCTATCCGGCTCGGGCGCTGGTTCAATTGGAAAATCCCTTCTCAACCTGGAAAAAGAATCGGAAGATGGACCGAACTAGATGTAAGATACAAGTATAGTACAATTAGTGCAGATAACTTATGCATCGGTGATCGTTACTCCCAACTCGACTTAATAACTTACTGTGGAGTTTTTCTCATTGTTATACTTTGTTTCTCGCCCTCGCCTTGCGAATAAATACATCCAACTAGGCTCCACTGTCGTGGACCACACCTTGCTTGGTAAATATTGTAGATTTAAAACACGGCGCGCACAGGGCACGCCGCGAGTGGGTACAGGGCCTCCATATGTTCTGAATGACATGTAGATGGAGAATGGGCGAGTTGTTGTGGAAGCTTCAAAACAAAACAAGTTCAAAGTGTGCCTGCACATCAAAAATGTTCAATTCCGGGGGAGAATAGACTGGGAAAGGGCCTCGTGCCGAGGCACCAACCTTGCGTGGTTCTCAAACAAAGTATTGCATAAGATATTCATCTACGATGAGTGTACTATGAAGTAGAAGTACTTTTAGTTGAAGTATAGAGTAATGTCAAACAGCTGATTTTTGAAAATCTATTTTTCGATGACACACAGTTTGGTAGGAGATGAGGAATCACAAAAAATCAACATCCTCAAGTCATAGGAAAAAGAGCTTACCAGATCATGTAGAATTAGCCATAGGGGCAAAGGTATTGGTGACACAGAACATCAAAACTGATCTGGATATTCCCAATGGTGCGAGAGGAAAGATTGTAAAAATTGTGTTTGATCCTAGAGAGCCAGAATTTGAGGAGAACTGTTCAGTGGTGGAGCTGGAGTACATGCCATTTTATGAGTTGGTAAAGATGGATTGCACAAGAGCACAGAAGCTTGATGGACTAGAAGAGCAGGTTATACCTATAGAGCCGCACAGTCAAACAGTCAACATACAGGTTTGGGTTGGAAGAAAAAAGTATGTCAAAGGCACAGTTCATTGCAAGCAATTCCCGATGACAGCAACATATGCATTCACAGATTATTGGGCTCAAGGACAGACCATATGGAGTGTGCTAGTGGATATAGGGAACTCAGTTTGTTCAATCTGTATGTGGTGTTATCTCGGAGTTCAGGTAGATCCACTATACATCTTCTTCGAGACTTTGTGGGGTGTTTGACAAAAGGCCATGATGTAGAGCTTCTAGCGGAAGATGACAGGTTGGAGAAAATCAACACACAGACAGCAGAGTGGTGGAAGAAAATGACAGAGAAATTGGAATGTGTATAGATTGACAATATTACAGACAATGTTGGGTATGAATCAAGAAACGGCGTACGACAGCACAGCTTAAACGGACCGAAAGGTACCGGTGTTGTGGCATGTTTGCGATATGGAACGAAAACTGCTTCAATTATCCCAGTCCGAGAAACCTAGCCAAGCAAGGTGATTATTTTGGTACAAAGATGCAAAATCATTTCGAAGGAAACACAACACCTTGAAAAACAAAGCGAATTTAGTACTATGATTCAACCCAGGTTCGAACTGAGGACCTTCTGTGCGAACAGATGTGTTAGACAGATGCGATAACCAACTACGCCATCGAACCATGGCAAATGGGAAGAAATGAAATACATCACTGAGGGACAGGATTTTAGGAACCAACGCCGACCATTACATAAAAAAGGGGCACGATGAACCTTGCTTGCTGTCAGTTTTCACATATACTGTACTGTGACCGACGATGAAGAACAAAAGGATATTGAAAGCCAGATTATAGAAACAGAGAAATGAATCTGTTGAATAATACATAGGTCATTGAGTATTTACAGTACAAAAAGTGATCTGAAAATGAAAACATCATTGAAGCGCCTAACGTGTGAAAAAAATACAGCAAGGGGAAGAAATTCTGAAGACCACTGTACTTTGCGCAAAACCCATAGTACTAATACTATGGTTCGAGCTTCACTAACTTCTCGACCTCTAGATTTCTTATACTTCTGTTTCTTCCTGGTACGTATGCCTTCTGCCACCCAACTCTTGTAATTGATTGACAACTTCCAATTCTCACTGCAGATACATATACCTGCTTCACTCTTGCTCGACTTTCAGATCCTGTACCCGTCAGCCTATTTACCTACCTTCTTGCTGGCCCTGCGCCAGTGGTATATCAACTTTTCGGCAGACCCATTGATTTCTGCTGCTGCTCGAGGGGATATAAACGGCGAACTGGTTTGGTTTGGGTGTTTCGCATGGCTCGAATTGTGAGTATCCTTGCATGGCGCGTTTTGCCTACCACCTGATATGTATCTTTTTGCAGGCTATTCCAATTTCCTACATTTTTTCTTGGAATGCGAGGTTTATGGAATGGTACGTGCTCACTTCGCTCGCAAAAATGTTGAATGCGACTTCTCGTCGTAGGTTCACATTCAATATACGTGTTGATATTGGCGTACGGCGCGTCAACGGCTACTACTACGCTCCCGTGCATATTCTACATCCTCAAAGAGCACTCACGGATGACCGCAGTTCAGCAAATCATCCTCCTTTCGAGCTACATCCCGTTTTTTATTCTACCGTTGATGATGGCTGTCGACATGGGATCCAGAGTTTATAAGATAATCAGGTCTACGGAAGTGAAGCAAAAGAAAGCATGAAGCATATTGCTATGAGCAGGGAACTATGATTTGAACTTGGGAACGCAGAAGGCATTCTCTATCTGGTACGACTCGTTTAATTGAATTTTTGTCACAGCGATTGATTCTGAGTCCCCACAGAAAAACCTAGATATTCAGGCGTCCAAATTTCGCGGACAATCGGGGTCAGTTAGTCTATGCTCCGCTCCTCTATCTGTAAACGAGCATTTCTGGCAGTCGAGTCCACATACAAATCATGATTACTTTACTCTGACCTCCTCATTGAGTGCAGGATTCCTAGTTTCACGCATAAATGGAACAGCGCTTTTTTCGGTCATTTGAAACCCTTAGGTGTCTTCTAAGATATCGGCGTATAACATTCCCCTCCACTCCACTTCCGCTTATTCGCCCATGCTTCACTACGACAGCCTAGCTTATCCTCAACACGAGGAATGTAATATTTAGAGCTCTTAGTGAGAGAAAAGGTGCTTCTTGATTCTCAGGGAAAGCAACACACCGCCGTGGCTCAGATTCATGGAGAGTTCATAGTCTCCGTCAATAAGTATACAGCTGTTCTCGTGCAATGGAAGTTCAATGTAGTTCGTAGTTTGTTGAATATTCTTTCAAGTTCTTCTCGTTTCTTCTGTCAAGTGAATCCCTCCTTCTTTTGGACGAATCTCTTTGATTTTTCCCAGTCGTGAGGACTAGCTGCCATCTTAGTAGACGGGCAAGAGTTGGAGGGAGCCACCTCGGCGAAGAAGTGGAAGAAAGGGGAAGGGATTTCACCAAAAGATGCGGGGAGTACGCGGGAACACTGTCTGCATAAATTGCAAAAATTCTTGGAACATTTCGGTTGTGTGCACGCGAAAGGCCTCTACGGCAGCCCAGGTAAAAGCAATTTTGTATACTTATCAGAACGAAGTAACAGTCGGTATTTCTGAATTAAAGTTCGGGAAAGCTTCCACGCTTTGACCCTTGAGAAAAGTCCATGTGCGTAACTTAATTAATTGCCTTCCTCCTTCCTTCAACGCGTTTCGTTTAGCCGGAACTCTTTAGTTCACCCGTGGAGAAGATACCAATACGGGTGCCACAGTCGAGGAACAAGATAGGACATTGAAAAGACAGTCATGACAACCGCCGACCCAATTCGCCCGTCATCTATCTCTTCGCCCATTATGAGGCCAATGCGTGGCTCCCGTATCGATGTCTTTTACGGAACTGGTGCATACGCCACTTCAACTGCCTCCACCAGGGAAAAGGAAGCAAGCGAACCCCAGCTTCCCTCACTCAGCTCTCTGGATAGCGCGTTCCAGCTGCAAGAATATATCTCGTTAGTTATTAGGAAGGACGTTCATGATGTTGACCGGATTATCAGTATCCCCAGCATACCAGGCAAAGAAGATGGGAAGGGAGTAGATGAAAATTGTTGGATTTATGAACAGTTAAGGTGAGTTACGACGAACTCAAGTAGATCATAAATATCGATACTAATCATGTTTATTAGACGACTAGCACAAGACCTCACACACCCGCTGATTACTGCTTTACAAGTGGAGTGTACGCGACAGACATGTCCGGAAATGAAAGCTGGCGAATGGCTGTATCTTTGTGTCGCTCATGGCAATGAGTCAACATCCCATTCCTCATCCTCTTCTGAAAACGGCAGTGGCGGTCCTGGCGGCGGAATGATGATGGAGCAATGTTGCGCCATAGATTACATCCTCCATACAATTGACTCTGCCACCGCTCTTTTGAATTCTCCTCGTGCTTTTCCTTCTAGACTATCCATTCCCGTCCCCAGTGTACGCCATTTCTCCAGTTTGGCACGGAGACTAGGCAGGGTTTTCGCCCACGCCTATTTCCATCATCGAGATTTGTTTGAGCAGGCGGAGGCGGAGAGTAGTCTGTACAGAAGGTTTGAGGAGATGGTCGGTAGATGGGGATTGGTGCCTAGGGAGTTTCTGGTCATCCCGAGTTTGGGTAAGGAAAATGACCTGAGCAAATTGGATGATGATTCAAGGAAGAGGGAGGAGCCCAGGTTGGAGGCTGCTGCCGTCAATTTCGATGACCACCTTGGATTTGAAGACGACGAGGATGGTCATTTTAACGACAAGGTCAAGCCTGTCAGTATTCTTCTGGACAACAGTGCTGTCGGCACAGGACCAACTGTCAATCGTATAACTCCTCCTTTGGAAGCGGGAGCCGGAGGGGACTTTTCTCGCTCCAAATCGAGTAGTCCCGGTAATACTTCTGGGAAGAAGTTTGGTAGGAATAGAACGGGTACGATGGTGTTTAGTGAGGCGAGTGCGCTCGTGGATGAACTAAGCAAGTCCCCGGGTGGAAGGGCTCAAGTGGAACTAGCTGAAGCGTCTGCACAATTGGCAAACTCTCAATCGACCTCTGCTGGGGAGTCAAAAACATCCGTCGCGGTGGCTCCAACTGAGTCGTCGAAGTCATCCGAGATAGCAGAACTACCCACGTCGTCTGAATCACAAAACACAGCTGCATCCTCCGAACCGTCTTCCGAATCATCCCAATCCCACTCTCCCTCCCCACCATTTGAAACGGACTCCTCCCTGCCTAAGGAAGTAGAAAATGACCCACCTCATGAAGCAACTGTACCTGCACCCGAAGAACAGGAAGTAATGACCCAAGCGGTAGAGGCCGAATCACCGGAAGAAGCGCAAGAGAAAAGTACAAGTATAGCTCGAGAGGTATTAGAAGTAACCCCCTCATCGACAACTGTCCCTTCAGATACCGCGCTGGAGGATGTGAAGCATGAGGTTGAAGACGAGGTCGCAGTTGTGGGCCAGGACGTAGTTGATGATGCTGAGCAGGTGAAGCATGCTGAACAGGAGGAGGGAGATGGCAAGGATGCCGCGGTTCCACTCTCGAATGATATGGTGGAGAAAGATGCTGGGGAGGGGGAGGAGGTAGCAACAGAGACGTCTGCAGAAGAGGAGACGAAGGAGGAGGCGGAAGAGAAAGAATCCGAGGCCGACGCTCAGGAGACCCAGGAAAATGAGGACAGCGAAGTAAAAACGTCGAGTGAAGCGACCCCTGCTCGATCATCCCACGAATCCGCATCTCCCACTTCGGAGTCTACAGAATCCTCAGAGTCTCCACAGTCATCGGAGCCCACAGAAGAACCTGTACAGGAACCAGTCGAAGAAGACGTGGAATCCAAAAAAATCGAGGAGGCTATTACTAGTGAAATTGCTACAACAGCACCGGAGGCAGAAGCAACGGTGACAGGAAGTGCTGAGACCGGTAATATAACCGAAGGAGAGTCGGACAGAACGGAAGTCTCTGAGAAGGAGGAGCCAGAGACGGTGACGGAGAAGGCGGAGGTAGCGAAGGTGGAGAACGATAACGAGAGCAAGGATGCATAAATTTATGACGAAGAGGGGGAACTCAAAAGCTTATATGTTTTCCATCCCTTCTATGTACTGTGCACTACATACCCCTTTCCGTTTCGAGTACGATTGAGTGAGGAACTGCCTGGAGTAACCAAGTATGTATATGAGAATTGAGTTCAATGCATTACCCAAACTGGCCTGAGGTGCAGTGAAGATGACGAGGCTCATCAGAGTATATCTATCACAGTATATCTATCACCAAGTAGGATCAACAGATGTTCCTAAATTGCGATATATATAGGAGTAAAGTAAAGACTACAATGGTATGGTCAATCTGCACTGGCCCACGCTCTTGTGAAGCGGATATCGAGCTTTGGATATCGAGTTTGCGAGGAATATAAATATCCATTTGCCGAGCCACTACTCTCCTCAGCAGTTGCTGGACGTAGTAGATCTCGTGTTATCGGCACCTAATTCCAACTACTTGGGAGGACTCAGTTTGAGTATAGATAGATGAATAGATAGGCGGTTCCGTCCAAAAAGAAGGGTCCCACAAGGGGACGGTCGACCTACTGCCTCCACTGTGAGTACACTGATGTGAAAATTTGTTTGCTGAGAGCAGTACTTGTTGAAAATTTACTTGACTGGTCCACCTATGTCATAGAGATATCCTTCAAACCATCGACAAGAATGTTCGCCTCATCCGCAGTTTGCTCTTCATGTTCGGTGGGTGTTGGTTGTGACTCGATCCTCCGACTGAGGTCTGCGACCGAAATCTTCCCATTGACGGTTCCCAGAAGCAAGCTATTCCAATCGATTGTATGTGCGTAGCCCAGTGTTGGGGGATCATTAAAATCGATTTTGAAAGGTTTAAAAATAGCTGTAGTCTTTGCATTGAAAGGATCCTCGAGAAATTGGAAGGAGAAAATTGCCCGTCCAACTCCTCCATTTGCACGTATTTGTCTAGATTCCTCTCGGTCGCGAGGACTAGCTAACATCGCGGAGATTGAATCAGAGTCAAGCGGGACAACTCTGGAGCTGATGATATAGAACGAGGAGGGTACTGGACCAAGAAAGGCGGGAACTCTGTCTGCATAAGTTGCAGTTATTTGAAGAACGTTGTGGAGAATGTCATCGGATGTGTGTATACGCAAGGCTTCTGCTGCGGCCCAGGAAAAAATACCTCTGTATTCCTACAAAAAAGCAAGCCTTAAGCTTGGAAATTCGTAAAAAGGCAATTGGCTGACCTCCATCCAGCCACTGTAATCATTTACAAGTTGGTAATCCTTACATCCCTTCTTCTTATGCTCAGACCAATCTTCTTTTTGACATTCTTTGCTCTGTAGGAGTGACGATAGTCAATGCACATGGGAATGAATTCAGAAAATAAATGGTACTCACGCAGTATCTCACATGCTTACACCTTGCACACACTTTCATTTTCCTTCCTTCATATCCTGTACTGCGCCTGGGACACGCGGAGTATTTGCAAACCTTCTCAGGGTTGCTTTCTTCGATAGAAATGCCCCATGCAGGATCTATTCGTCGTAATGAAGCTGGCATCAAGTGGTTGAAAACTTGAAATGCTTCAATGTAAGCGCTCAGTGTATACACAAACTTGTTATCTCAACAAATCTTCAAAACCGCCGAACAGCGAGGATTTTAACTCAGTCTTATCTCTATAGAACTCCGTTTGTCTTTTTTTGGTGTATGCATACGTCAACTAACACTGACAGTTGTGAAAAGTAGTATGTGAATCAACAGAACGAGTCCGCAACAACGGCAAGTTCAATAACCTGCAACAAGTACTAGTACTAGCGATGAGACTGGATCAAAATCTAGTCTTCGAGAACCTCAATGTTTGTGCTATGTCGTTGTACAGCATGAATCTCTATGAATAGATCCTGCCAACGTAATTGACTCTGAGTGACTCGGGAGTCACTCAGTCATTGAATCTCCCAAGGCTCTCTCTGACTCTCACAATTTATATCTTCCAGTGCCACCATATCGTATCGATATCATCTTCAACGTGTGGTTCTAACTTTCTATCGGATGTCGGAGGCAAAACGGAAGGGTTGCAGTTGCTGACAAATTTCCGGTGTTATTACCAGAAACAGCTTACGAACAACTTACGAAAAAAAAGTCCGAGAGTTTAGCCGCCATTTTCCGACGCGTCTCACCTGCCGCGACGGTATATAAAATGGTCTTTGCCTTTTGTCGGTACCTCAACTGCCCCTCCTCCTCAGAACGATCATCATGTCTGAGCCAATGAGTTCAACTCCTCGCCAATCCTCCGACAAGACGTTAGCGTCTGTCCACTCAACGACTGTGGACGATAACACAGAAGTTAAGCCACCAGTGGCAGTGGCTGCCCCTGAAAGTACAGTGGTAACGGGGAAAAAACTTGCAGTCATTTTCGTGGCAATGTGCGTTTACTTGTCAATTGTGCATTTCCTGCGATTTACTTATTTTTTTTCGGCAGGTTGTTGTCGCTTCTGTTGATCGCACTGGATCAAACTATCTTGTGTGCGTAATTCGACCTGAACATTTTAGACTGGGACTGATCCTTTTCTCAATTAGCCACTGCTCTTCCTCGCATAGCCTCCGATTTCAACTCGTTCTCTCTACAAGGATGGGTTTCCTCCTCCTTTGTTCTAGCACAAACAGTCTTCCTTTTATTCTATGGTCAACTTCTGCGAATATTTCCTGCGAAATGGATTATGATCTCAGCTGTCACAATCTTTGAGACAGGGTCTTTGATATGTGGGGTGTCACAGAACGTCGATCAGTTGATAGTAGGTCGCACAATTTCTGGTGTCGGAGCCGCAGGAATATGTGCGTTTTGAGTCTACGTTTATCCGGTACAATTTTAATGGTCACCATTTGCAGTTGTTGCTATGATCCAAATCATATCTCAAGCTACGAGGCTCGAAGACCGACCGCGGTTATTCGGCATGTTTGGTGCTGTCTTTGGTCTCTCATCGGTTATCGGTCCCCTTATCGGTGGAGCATTCACTGACCATGTACGACCTTCTCTAGTCTTAATTTTTTCTTTTACTCACAGATATTTCAGGTTACTTGGCGGTGGTGTTTCTTCATCAATCTCCCCATTGGAGGGATATCTCTGCTTGCCCTGACTTTCCTCTTGAAAGCCTCTCCTCCTCTAGGATCTGACCCTACGAAGAGATCACTCAATGACATACTCCGTCAGATATTAAAGGTTGACTATGTTGGTGCGACTTTGGTTGCCGCTGCTGTAACGTGCCTCGTACTTGCTCTCCAATGGGGCGGAAATACCAAACCGTGGAGTGATAAGGCTGTCATAATTGTTAGTATACGCATTCCATCATTGTTAGTTGTTTAACATGCATCTGATCATTCCCCAATTAGAGCTTTGTCTTTGCGGGAGTCACCGCGGTCACGTTCATTGCATGGGAGATATATATTGGCGAAAACGCGATGGTTCCAACACAGATTTTCAAGTCTCGTTCTATGTAAGTTTACATTGAGTTATCAGACGTCTTTGGACTAATCCTGTTTGTTTATAGATATGCTATCATCACATACAGCTTCCTCACTCGTTTCTCCCTCCTACTATTCTCATACGTAAGTCTGGCTTCATTCATGTGCGGAGAATCTTCCTAACAACATCCAAAGTATATTCCTATCTTCTACCAGGCTGTAAGACATAGAACAGCTACCGACTCAGGCATCGATCTGCTCCCGTTCATGCTCAGCGTCGTACTTAGCGTTATCGGTTCCGGTCAAATTGTCGGAAAATTCGGATACTAGTACGTTCACCGTTCTCTTCTGACATTTCGTTTTGCTCATCAAAAACTTTAGTTGGCCTTTCCTCGTATGCGCTCCCATTTTCCTCGCTGTCGGTTCCGGACTTCTATACACTGTCAGCCCGTCGACCACATCTGCCCAACTCATCGGATTCCAGATTCTCGCCGGTGTCGGTACCGGTATGGGTATGCAGAATTCGCTTCTAGCAATTCAGTAAGTCATCTTAACATTACTAACGTGGCTCTAATTCTAATTCTCACTTGCAGAGTTGAGTTCAGAGATGCACCGAAACTCCTTGGACAAGCAACGAGTATGGCCTCCTTTGGTCAATTCCTCGGTGGAACTCTTGGACTCGGTGTCGCCGAGCCAGTTTTCTCGTCGGAATTGGCCAAATATCTCTTGAAGTACGCACCAGATGCTCCTGCGACAATCGTGAAGGAATCGCCAACAGCTATCTATACGGAGATTTCTCCTTCACTGATACCTGGTGTTGTCCAAGCGTACTCACAGTCTCTGCGCATTGTGTTCGTCGTTGGTGTTCCAGTTGCAGGGCTTGCTCTTTTCACGGCCATGTTCATCAAGAACACTAGAATTGTGAAGACCGCACCACCCCCTTCGTCTTCAGTGCCCGCATCTGAGACGGAAGGAAAGGGCAAAGACATAGAAAAGGCCTAGTAGGGGGGAACGCAATCGCAGATTAAATTTATAGTATATTCATCCAACTAGCCCGCCCCCATGGTATCAACCATTATGCGTTGGTGGGGGCTGTAGGCTCTTAATCTGGGTAAAATCTAGTTACACAATACATCTACCCACATATACTCAGCTCGAGGGGATACACAAGGTTTACTTGTAGCACTACTTTATTACACATGGCATGTTATGATTACGATTGCATTAGTATTAGCCCATCTCAATCAATGAAACAGTCATATTTAAAGATGCGGGATATTTTCCTGGGATTTTCAGTAGTATGTACTTGTACAAATATAGAAAAGAAAAGACATGGATTGAATAGAACTTAGTACATATCACCAATAGTTCAAACATACTGTAGATCATTATATATGACCGCAGATTTTTATTCAAGAATTGCAGCCTTACCTAGATCAAGGCAATTCCAGTCTATCATTGTCCCGGGGGCGGCAGGCTTCGGCGATCAGAGATATGTAGTTGCCGAGCCAAGGCCCTGCTTGCCGATGCAAAATGACCTGGAATCATTTTAATGAAACATTGGGTCGAAGTGCAATTGAGACCAACAGGAAAGACCATGCGGGTCACATCTCGTAGATAGGACAGGATAGGACCAGCTGCAGTAGACTCACTGAGATTTCATGAACCTTTTTTCAAGTATTTGAATTGAAGCCTTTTGAGAAGGCACGTCGAGTAGGTTGTATGAGGTTGTAGGGTGGTTCCCTGGCAATGATCACGATCACGAAATGCATTCCCGTCGGAAACCACGCGACAGGTAGCGGGTAGTACGCCATAAGACGCCATATATGAGCATATATGCTGCATATATGTATGCCCAGTATTTTTTTCGTATAGTGTATCAATCAGAGTGTATCTCCTTTGGATCGATTCAGATCCTTATAAGCTCCAACCTCCCGACGCCTAGGTCGGGTCCCTTTTTTTTTGTTTTGACTTTCGAGTCTAAAAAGCTACTTACTCAACGCGCGATTATTTTGGTTCTGAAGGTGAGAGACTGGGACACCAAGAGGTGCCTGGTTGGGAGCTAAAATGAAGACATGTTGGTTCTGAAACTCGTTATGTGCCTCCTTGTGCCTCCTATTTTGTCCCCACAGTCGTCATCCAAGGTTGCCCCTATCAAGAGCGGAAGACGACCTTTGAAGGAAGATCGTGCGGAAGCCGGCCGACAATGAACGGAACCTACTCCCTCAGTTTACAGAGGTTAGTCCGGAGTAGTCACAGGTAGTCACTACGAAGTGATGTCTTTTTCTAATAGGATGAGTTCCAAAATCTAAGCATTGAGCGTTGAGTGCTGAATACTGGGCCATAGTTAGATTGTTCATCTACCTAAATTGGAATCTTGGTCTAGTCCGACTTTCAGAGGTAGATCTTTAAAGCTTCAGTTTAAGTTTGATAACTGTGAGCGACGGTCCTTCGGTCCTGCTAAGATGATCCGCTACAAGCGCGACAGGTTTATGCAGGTTTATGCCCAGTTGTTTATTGCTCTTAGTTCTTCGTATACCCTCCTTAGTGTTCATGTTCTGATTGAAATACCCATCCGAAATGTGACCTGCTAGAAGAGGCTGAAAATACTGAGCTTAGGTTCTGTCCTCAATTTCGATGAGCTTACACATTGTGTAGTGACTGCGGTCTATATCTATTATCGATGAGACTGCGCGGTATTAACGGAATGTACAAAAACTCCTTTGGAAACCTTGTTAGAAGTATGAATACCATCGGAACAGACGTTTACTGATTTTCGTGCGCTGGAGATTCTCGAGAATCTCGGGTACAAGTGTATGATGACATCGGACACCGGACACGGTCAGACGATTGCTTGATGGATAGATAGAGTGGGGGGGAGCCAGCGATCGAGAAAAATAGTGGAGATGAACAAGGCTTAGGCAGGGCTTAGGTATACTTAGTGGGACTGGCCCCCTGACTGGCCTCTGGTCTGTGGAAGTTCCTGGAAGTATAAAAAGGGGAGACATGCATCTTTCTTTTCAAGATATCGGGCTTCTCGAACCATCCCATCTTTCTTCGAGTCTGTTGCTTCTCAGAAATGCGATTCTTTGTTGCTCAGATTGTATCGCTTGCCTGCGTCTTGGCTACGGTTCAAGGTCTCAATATTAACAGAGGCGAGGTGGGTGTCTTTGGTTTATTACTTGGGGAATGTGTGTACTCACTGTTGTCGTTGCATTAGCCTGCTGGTGTCATTCGTGGCGAGGTCAGTATCCTTGGCTCGAGTAAAAAATGTGTGTGTGTGTGTGTGCTCACGAACGGTCATATTCATTCAGCCTGCTGGCGTCATTCGTGGAGAGGTCAGTTTTTTGATACGGTCGAAGATATATGTGCTGACGAATGGTTGTATTTAGCCTGCTGGAGTTATTCGTGGCGAGGTTAGTATCTTTGTTGTCATATATTCGAAGCCTTGATTCACCGTGCTCATCGTCGTATCTAGCCTGCTGGAGTCATTCGTGGCGAGGTCAGTGACTCTTTGAAAAATATAGGGCGAAGATATATGTGGCTCACGAACGGTCGTATTTAGCCTGTTGGCGTTATTCGCGGTGAAGTGAGTATTTTTTGCTTTCTTACTCGAAGAATATCTGAGTGCTGATCATCAAATCATTGTATGTAGCCTGCTGGTGTCATTCGCGGTGAGGTTAGTATTTATTTCTTGCCTTCACATATTATGAGAATATACATCACTCACTATCCGGATATTACTAGCCTGCTGGCGTCATTCGTGGCGAGTTCGAGGGTGAGTGGAGGGGTTGAGGGTGATTTACGGCGCGTGGAGACTGATTTGATTGGTACTTTTTTTTTTTGACAGCGAGAGAGCCTACTCGTAAGATCCACGGTCGGGAGCTTGAATTCGAGGGTGAGTGTGTCATACAAGTCGACGAGGCCAAAGATCAATTCCGCTGACACCTCTTTTACTTGGTATTGCAGCTCGAGAGCCTACCCGTAAGATTGGCGGTCGGGAGCCTGAAGTCGAGGGTAAGTCTCAACTTGACGAGGATCAAATTCATTCATTGACGCTTTTCTTTCGTGTCCTTGTAGTCCGAGAGCCTACCCGTAAGATCCACGGTCGGGAGCCTGAATTCGAGGGTGAGTATTCAAAACAACTCGTCAACGAGGGAGGGAGGCAAAGATTAATTCCACTAACGCCTTTTGTTTCTCGGTATTGCAGCTAGGGAGCCTACCCGTAAGATCCACGGTCGGGAGCCTGAAGTCGAGGGTAGGTCTCAACTTGACGAGGATCAAGTTCATTCATTGACGCCTTTCTTTCGTGTCTTTGTAGTTCGAGAGCCTACCCGTAAGATTCACGGTCGGGAGCCTGAATTCGAGAGTAAGTATTCAAAATAAGTCGACGAGGGAGGGAGGCAAAGATTAATTCCACTAACGCATTTTGTTTCTCGGTGTTGCAGCTAGGGAGCCTACCCGTAAGATCCACGGTCGGGAGCCTGAATTCGAGGGTGAGTACCCAAGACAAGTCGACGATGCAAAATATTGACGTATTTTATTTCTTGTATTGCAGCTAGGGAGCCTACTCGCAAGATCCACGGTCGGGAGCCTGAATTCGAGGGTGAGTTTTAACTTGACCAACTTGACGAAGGACCTGACACTCTTTCTTCCTTGTTGCAGCTAGAGAACCCACTCGCAAGATTCATGGTCGAGAGATTGAAGGTATGTCAACGTTAGATGTGATACGCATCGAGATGATTTTTTCTAAAACATGTACTGATGGATGGATTGGCGTTTTTTTTTTGTTCTTTCTACATACATTATTATCATAATTCTTTCTGGACAGCCCGAGAGCCGACGCGCAAGATTAAGCCCTAGATAGATCAAGTCCCTGGATATGTGAAGGGCTTTCAATCGATGGCTATCGTTGGATTGTGGTGATGGAGCGAGAAATACGAGAAATATCCTGAAATACGAACTCGCGGCGGCTTGGAGGGGTGTTTGGTTTTTGCTTCTGTCGTTTATTTTGTATGTTATAAATCTGTGAGAAGTCTGTGATCAGTCTGTATCGAAGGAGGAGGAGGAGGAAAAGGGGAAGAAAAATATGTTGTTCATCTGTTTATTTGATTGATTGTTGTTGTGTTATACTGGAAAATGAGAGTATACATTATTACTTATGCTTGGAACTTACATCGAAGTTGCTAGTAGGCGCGGTTTGAGTCAATTAGCATTCTAAGGATCATGTCGATCTCGGTTTTGTGCGACATACAACATCAGATTTTGATCAATGATCAATGGGCAATGGGCAAAAAAAAAAAAAGAATTAAGTATCATGAATGGCAGATACAAGTCTGTCTGTGTGTACGTAGCTCCTGATTATGATCATGAGGAAGTACATAAGTAGAGAACAGTAAAGAAACCTACATGGAAGTTACTCACCAGAAAAGTTACTCATCAGAAGCGGTTGAGTCAATTACTAATGGGTGTAGTCTTCTAAGGGAGCATATGCATGATGAGTTTCTTCTAAGCATCATGTCGAGTTTCTTCTGAGCATCATGTCGAACTTTGCAGTGCGATAGTGCGATATGCATAGTGCGGTAGTGCGATATACACTGATACACTGATACACCCTGATCCAGAACGAAATAGTATTTTTTTATTGATCCATCCATCCGGATTGAACTAGGATATGTACCACATAACATGGGGCAAGAAAAATAAATAAATAAATAGAGAAATAGAGAGATTAGAAAATGGAGAGGAGAGAGAGGAAAGGGAGAGAGGAAAGGGAGAAGAATAGAGAGTAGAGAATAGAGAGAGTATAGATAGAGACTAGAGAGATAATCATGGCCGCCAGATAGTTCCTGGAAATGGAAGACAGTGCGGTTAGTATTTAACATCATCCACATCGTTAGAGGGTTAGAGTGATCAATCATCCACTCGAGGGCTAGGCTTACCTTTACACTTCGCCGCCCCACATTCACAATCCACATGGACCCTCGCGTCGCCTTTTTTGCCTTTCTTTTTCTTGGTATTCTGATTCTTCTCGTTCTTCTGGTTTTGGTTTTGGTTTTGGTTCTGATTCTTGTTATTGTTATTGTTGTGGTTCTTCTGGTTCTGGTTCTGGTTCTGTGGCGATTCGAGTGATCTGGGGGTATTGGTATGCTTCGCCTTTGGAGCGTGTTTCCCACGTTTAGGTGTCGGTGGATGGACTTTGTTCTCCTGCTTTTTCAAAAATCAATCAATAAACCAAATAAAATAAATAAACCAAATAAAATAAATTAAAAAAACCCATTATTATCATTTTCGATCAACGATTTCATCGAGATGACGATGAATGAATGAATAGAATGGAATGGAATAACTCCTACAAAAACAACGAGACGACTTGACTCGACTTGACTCGACTTGACTTGACTCACCAAGTCACCACCACCGTTATCATCATCATCGTCATCGACATCGGGATCCCCGCTGTAGGAGAAGGTGATTTCTTCGTGTGGGTGGATGTCGCGCTTGGAGAAGATGGTGAGGAGGGGGCGCTCGATCTCGTCGACGTCGATGTAGACGGGGGTGAGCGCGGCGTTGGGGTCGCAGGAGTGGTTCTGGGGGGGTGGTTAGGAGAGGGTAAGGGGAGGTGAGGGATGAGAGGGATGAGAAAGAGGGGTGTGGGGAGGAGGGAGGAGAGGGGTATGGGGGAACAAGGGAAGAGAGGGAGAGGGAGGAGGGAGGGACGTACCAAGAACCGGGTGAACTAGGAAAGAAAAAAGAATTAGTCGATTGAGGCAGTATGATTAAAGAACGCCAAAACGTACATTCCCTGCGTGATATGCATCGATTGTGTATTTCGATGGTCGGCGTCTTGGTCTGTCGGAGGAGGAGGAGGAGGAGGAGTCTGAGGAGTCTGAGGAGGAGGAGGAATCGGAGTCGGAGTCGGATGAGTTTGAGTCGGACGAGTCTGGATTTGCTGAGGCTGAGTGTGAGTGTGAGTGTGAGTGTGATACGCCACCGCTTGTCTTGGGGTGGGACCTGCCCTTGTCCTTGTGTTTCGCGTTACCTTCTTCAACGTTCGCGTTCGCGTTCTCTTTGTCGATGGTGTTGAACGCGGAACCAGAGGCAGAACCAGAACCAAAACCAAAACCAGAACCAGAACCAGGGGCAGGGTCAGAACCAGGACCGGAGGCAAGGGCAGAGCCAGGGGCAGGGTCAAGGGCAAGGGCACGGGTAGGGACAGGATCGTCATGATCCACGATGATGGGAGTTTGTTCGTTCCCATCTCCAGCTCTGGTTCCAGCTCCGTTCATAGTCTCTTGGAGAGCGGTGATGAGAGATTGTTTGGCTTTCTCGAGTTGTTCCAGTTGTTCCTGCATTTCCTTTTCCGATTTCTGCTCCTTTTCCAATTTCCCCTCCTTCTCCTCCTTTTCCTTCGCCTCCTTCTGCCTCGCCTCCTTCGCATCAAGCTCGGCATCGATATACCACCAGTCGATGTCGAAGAGGTAGGTTCGTCCGAATTGGTCGTATTTTCTGTGTGTGGAGGGAGGTTAGTTAGTTGGTGTGTTCAAAAAAAAAAACACACCACATACATCGCACGTTCCTCCGACTCCTCATGCCCCAGCAGCTCCCCCGAGTAGATCCCGATGAACGTCCCTTTCGGGATACGCTCGCACGCAAACACGCCCCACCCTTTTTTGTCCGTTTGTTTGAGCATGACTCGGGTTTTGCGGCCTTGGGAGACGACCTGTGAAGGGGGAGAGGGGGAGGGGGAGAGGGTGAGAGAGAGGGAGGGGGGGAGGGGGGGGGGGGGGGTGTGAGTAAGAGACAAGGGACAAGGAACAAGGAGATAACGTTGCGAACTCACCCGATTCCGACACTCCTCCCCACACCCACACAAACTCCCACACTCAAACACCGGGAGCCCCGGTTTCTTCAGCAACCCCGCGGCATCGTACATGAACCCCGACACGTCGTACGCCCCCGTGTGGGATTGTTGGAGGGCCCAGCAGGGGCAGGCGGATTTGCGGAGGTGGCAGTGCCCGGTGGGGCAGGAGCAGGATGTGAGGGAGAGGAGGGAGGGAGGGGAGAGGGTGGGGGAGAGGAGCATGTGGTTGGTGTAGTAGAATTCCCAGGGGGGAGTGGGGGAGGAGGAGGGGGGGGAGGAGGGGGAGGAGGAGGGGTCGGAGGAGGGGTCGGAGGAGGGGTCGGAGGTGTAGATGGTGATGGCGGGTGCGTTGGGCTCGTCGTCGACGGTGTTCTCGCGCATCATGGCTTCGTAGACGAGACGCATCTGAGGGTACATACGCATTTCGGGGGTGTAGGAGTTGATGTAGTCGTGCATTGTGTGGGTGAGGGTTGCGTGGGGGGTGAGCGAGGTATTGCTGGAGTAGAGGGAGGTGGTATTGCTGGAGTAGAGGGAGGAGGTAGAGGTGGTAGTACTGGTAGTAGGGTGGGAAAGAGGGGAACGGGAAAGAGAAGAAGGGACAGTGGAGTATTTATGCGGAGGGGGAAGGAGTCGGAGGAGGGCGCGGACGTGGGACCAGGTGAGCGTGGGGAAGCCGCCGAGCATGGGGGGGAAGAGGTGTGGAGAGGAGTCAGGGGGTGTAGAGGAATCGGGGGGTTTAGAGGAAGAGGGGGATGTGGGGGGTTTAGAGGAGAGGGAGAGGGGGAGGGGGAGTTTGGGTTTGGTGGTGGGAAGAGAAGGTCTAAGTTTGGGTTTGGTTTTGGGTTTGGAGAGAACAAGGGCAGTGGTGGTAGGGGGAAGGTTAAGAGGATCAACTAGATCCTCGGGTGTGGTGCTCCTTGGAGGAGGAGTACCACCCTCATCTTCGGAAGAGGAAGAAGAAGAAGAAGAAGGGTCGAGACCGATGGTTATTGATTGGTAGTAGGGTTCGGAATCTGTTTCTGAGCCAGGGGGATTTGGGACTGGACCTGCGCTTGGACCAAATTCGAGGTCGAATTCCGAATTGGAGTTGGAGTGGGAGTTGGACCGCGAGGAAGAGGAGTGATATGTGTGTCTTCGACTTTGTCGACTTTGTCGTTGTCCGTGTCCGTGGTGGTCAGGATATTGTTGGTGTTGTTGGTGTGGGTATTGAGGTAGAAGTTGTTGAGGTAGAGGTAGAGGTAGAGGTTGTTGAGGTTGTTGTGTCGCTCTGCGAGGCCGAGACGAGCGACGACGACGACGATGATGTGGGAGAGGGGTCGTCGTCGTGAGAGTGGGGAGAGAGGTGGTGGTGGTGGTGGTGGTGAGAGAGGGGAGAGTGGTGGTGGTGGTGGTGGTGGGGAGAGAGGGGGAAGGAGATTGGGAAGGCACCAGAGGGGGGGTTGGTTGGGGTTGGGATTGGGGTTTGGTTTTGGGATGGGGTTTGGGTGGGACCTGGGGAGGGGAGGGGGAGATGTCAGATATCGACGATATCGATGAGAGGAAGGGATGTTGGTGAGAGGAAGGGGTGTTACGAGAAGAAGGGGTGTTACGAGAAGAAGGGGTGTTACGAGAAGAAGGGGTGTTGAGAAGACAAGACAAGGCATGTACGTACCTCAGCTATCGGTTCGGACGTGGTTATCCCATTGCGGTCGAGAGTGCGGTCAAGAGTGCGATTGAGGTAGGGGCTTTGATATTGATATTGAGGGGAGTGGGGTTCGACGGGGGAGATTGAGGTTGAGGTGGTGGGGTCCTGGGGTGGGTGGAAGAGAGTGAGTGAATATGGGAGGGGGTGAGTGAGGTGAGTGAGTTGAGAGAGAGCGAGAGAAGGAGAGGGAAAGAAGAGGGAAAGGAGAGGAAGGAAAGGAAGAGAAAAGGAACTCACGTTCGAAGCGTCGACCATGTTTTGGACGTGGATCTGTGTACCGAAGGCCGAAGGGGGAAAATGAAACGAGGGGGGGTTAGTTTTGTGTGATGGGATAGTAGGATAGGATAGTGGGATAGTAGGATAGGATGGCAGTATATAGATAGAGTATAGAGATTGAAATAAAATTGAAATAAACAACCCACCTCTGACTCGTCCCCGGAATCATCTACGTACACCACCGTGTGTTCAGGGACTTGTCCTGCCCCCCTCTCCATCTCACCCTCCATCTCCATTTCCATCTTCATCCCCTCGTCGTTGTCGCGATTGCCGTCGTCGCCGACGTCGTGGGCATAAACAACATCATCGACATCGACGTACTCGAGAGGCGGGAACGACGTCGGGTCGTCTGTGTCGTCGATTCGTGGAGTGGGGGGGTTTGTTGAGTTGGAGTTTGTGTCGGAGTTTGTGTTGGGGGTGATAGGTGATGTGGTTAGGGCGGTTGGGGTGGTGGAAGTCTCCGGTAGAGGAGCGGTGACGGTGCTGCTTTGAGCTCGACTCTCACTCTGACTCTGACTCTTCTGAATTCGATTCTCACTCTGACTCTGACCCAGACCCAGACCCAGACCCAGACCCTGAGTTCTGCTCTTGCTTCCACTTCCGCTTCCGCTTCCACTTCCCCCCGTCACACGCGGAGTCCCCAGCAGCGCGAGGAGCGCGAGGGCTTTTTGTTTTTTGGTGGGGGGATGTTGTGGTTTCGAGTTCGAGTTGGAATTCGAGTTGAAGGTGGGACGGGACGAGGACGGGGAGGATGACCGAGAAGACGGGGAGGAAGGAGAGGAAGGAGAAGAGGGTGAGGAAGGAGATTGAGAGGAAGGAGGGAGAGGGAGAGGGAGAGGGGGTTTCAACACCAGTGGATTGGACGAGGGTGGGAGGCGTGATCGAGGGAGAGGGAAGGAAGGAAGACTCGCACGGGGTTTTGTTGATGATGTTGTTGGGTTTGGGTTGGATTTTTGCACGAGGGGGTTTAGGGAACCGAGTGAGGAACCGAGTGAGGGGTTGAGGGAGGGATTAAGGGAGGGATTAAGAGAGGGTTTAAGGGAGGGTTTAAGAGAGGGTTTAAAGGAGGAATTGGTATTGGGATATGAACGTCGATGGGAGTAGGAGTAGGCATAGGCTTTGGACCCTGGGAGGGGGGTGAATGGGGATGTGCGGGGTGGAGGGGAGTGTGGGAGCTTGGATTTGGGGTTGAGGTTGAGGTTGGGTTTATGTTTCTTAGCACCCGCACCCGCACCGTCCTTGCTCCTCCTCGTCGCAGTACCGAAGTTGGCTTCACCGGAGGCGTTGAACGCGTCTGCGAATGATTTGAGCCATTCGCGGTCGTTGTCTGTGTCTTCGTCGTTGTCATCGTCGTTGGTGGGAGAGGAGGGACGGGCACGTGGGAGTTGTGGGTGAGGTCGGGCTTGGGGGTGAGGCTCTGAGTGTGGGTGGTGGTGGTGGTGATTAGGCTCGGGTTCGGAATCAGAGCTGATGATGGTTGGTTCCGAGACGGGGACGTGGGTTGGATCTAAGGGTGGTGGTGCCGGTGCGCGTTGGATCGGGGGTGGAAGTGTAAGTGGGAGAGGGAGAGTGGGTGGGAGAGGCTTTGGAGTAGTCTTCGGTAAAGAATCGACTCTCTTCTCTTTTTCATCTTCGCTGTCTGTGATCTCGAAGATTTCGTGGATCGTGGTTCTACCTGAGGTCGGGGTTGGACCTGGTGCGGGGGCTTGACGTGGTGCTGGAGCTGGAGCTGATGCTGGACGTGGACCTTCAGCTGGAGCTGGACCCGGTCCATTGAGTTTCCCAGCGATTGGAAGTGCGTCGTCGTCGTCGGAAGAAGGAACGAGGATTGCAGTGGAGGGACTTTGTCCTTTTCTTTTTTCTTCGCGGGTGCGTTTGACGCGTCGAGTCGAGAAAGTTGTTGTTGTCTTGCGAGCGGTTCGGATTCGTTTCATCGGTGGACGACCATTCTCTCGTCCGTTCTCTGGCTCAGGTCCGGGTCCGGGTTCTGGGTCGGGTTCTGGTTCGGGGTCGGGTCTGCGTTTTCGAGGGTTGGGTTTACGCGTCGTTTTGCCTTTGCCTTGTTTCGCTTTCCCCAGTCCGACTCCTTCGTCGATGTCGCTGCTGGCGTTTGGTGTCGATCCATGTTCTGTGGTGGGAACTGGGGTTTAGAATGCAACGAAAGGTGGGGAGGGGTCGTACCAGAGATATGCTCCCATGTCGGTCCAGGCGACGCCATTCCAGTGGATTTCACAGTATTATTCCAAGATGTTATGTATTACATAATCACTGCCATTGTTGACAAATCTATCTATCTATCTATCAATCATTACACACTCTTCTTCTCCTCCTCCCTCCTCCTCTCTTCCTCCCGTCTTTTCTCCCTTCTTTCCCTCCCACGCGTGATCATCTCCTTCGGCTCCAACTCTGCAAAAACATACTTACACACCGCCTCGATCACCCAACACCCCCCGAGGTCCAAGATCATGCTGAACGTCAGCTTCACCTTGAACATCCCCTCCATTTCCACGATCTGCAACCACCGGTTTAACTCGGGGAGGAAATCAGTGGACCCGGAGAACGCGACGGCGGAAGCACCGAGAAGGCCGTAGAAGAGAGCAGAATTCTCACGGATGCCTTCGCGGAAGGGGCGGCCTTGGAAGTTGATGGCGAAGGTGGAGACTTGCTGTGAGAGGCTGAGGAGGTAGATTGCTGTGTTGAGGAGGGAGGGGGTGAATTTCGCGTCGAGGTCGATTGGGGTGAGCGGGTCGGAGGGGGAGAAGGCGCGCGCGAGGGAGGTGATGTAGATGAGGGTGGAGATGTGGAGAGCGAATTGGAGGAGCACGGAGAGGAGGACGTAGAGGTTGAAGATGTTTCCGAGGGGGCGTTCGCGGGATAGTTGTTCCACGGGCTGAACAAAGGTGTTTAGATACATATTCTTATTAGGGTTGTAAACTCACCTTGGCACGGGAGATACAGAGGAAACACACAGACATTAGCATTCCAGTGATCGTGACTTGGTAATCCCCGAATTTAATCCCGTCGAGGTATTGCACGCTCAGGCTGTATGCCGTGATTAGACAATTTAAGGCGAGGATTTTGTACATCTGAATCGTCGCAACCAACGTGCATCGGCCTTGCCGGATGATATGTGTCACCGCAGAAACATGCGACAGCTTCGACGTGAACGGCGCAGCACACGACGCGTCCCCGAGTTTGATTTTCGGGACTTCGTCCTCGCCTTCCATTTCAGCGAGCTTGTCTGTTATACCAGCCAAGTCGAATTTCTCCATCGGGTTCCGCTTCCTCCCCTCCATCTGCGACGCCGCAGCCTTCTGCTGCGCCGCCACCGCATCCGGAAACAAATGCGCAATACCCACGGGCACAGGCGGCGGTGGCTGGTTGAACCGCGCGGAGATCTTCAGCTGGCTCTCATACACCTGTTTCACCCTCTCGATTTTTTGGCGTTCAGCGATCTTTTGGAGGTCTTCCGGTGTCCCGTCGAGTAAGGCGACACCGATGTGTGCTTGCTTGAGCGCGCCGACGTCGTTGGTGCCGTCGCCCGCCATGAGGGTGATGTATCCGAGGTTTTTGAGGGAAGTGAGGATGAGCTCTTTTTGGAGAGGCGAGACTCGGGCGTAGACGAAGGTGTGTTGCACAAGGAGGGACCAGGAGGGGTGGGTTTGGTAGTGTTTCATGGCGGCACCGGTGATGCAGATGTCGTACGTGGAGAAGAGGGAGAGGTCGAGGGGGGCAGAGGGGTCGACGGGGATGATTTTGCGTTCGTCGATTGTGCGCCAGGTTAGGTCTGTGGGGGGTTAGTTGGGGGGTGATATTATGGAGGGAGGGGGCAGACCTCGTTCGTCCCGGGGATTCTCGCGGAGATCGAGGATGAGGGCTTCGCGATCGACGATTTCCACGGTTTTGGCGACGTGGACGGCGGTGAGGGGGTTGTCCCCGGTGATCATTATGCACTGGAATCATACATGAGTTGTAGATTTCGAATAAAATAATAGAGCGTACACGATGCGAAGAGTCGGCAAGCATTTTAAGTGCAGCGACAGCGTCTGGTTTCAACGGACAGTGAAAAACCAGGAAACCTGCGAATGTTAGATCGCTTTCGATAGTGTCTCGGGAGAGTTTGTTGATCTACCCTCCTTCGTATTAGCGCAACTTGCAACGACTTGGGGTATATATGTCTACCTTTTCCCCATTCATGAATTCCATCTCCTTAACAGCAAGCGCCAACACCCGACTGCCTTGTCGGGTATATCCTTTGTAGATATCGTCGTACTGGTGCGGAACCACACCGAGCATTCCTTTGATCGTTTCGGGCGCACCTTTGACGGCGACGAGGGTGCGGTTCGTGGTTCCGCCCGTGCCGCCGATGACGGAGGGTCCTTGGAAGGTGGATACGGTGCACATGCGTTTGAGGGCAGAGCTGAATTGGAAGCGGCGTCGGATGTTTAGGGAGAGTTTGGTGTTTGGGAGGAGGGAGGAGACAAAGTCGTCTGGGGGGGAAGAAGTTTTAGGTGAGGTGAAGAGAGGAGGAGGGGGGGGGACAGACGTACTTTTGCCAACTCCCCAATCCATGTTTTCGAGTGTGGTTTTCTCCATGGGGTCTCCGACGATGGTGCCGTCGTCGAGTCGGACTAGGGCGTGTGCGGCTGCGAGACAGAGAGTGGTTTCTCGGGATACTTCGCGGACGTTCAGTAGAGACATAGGGTCTTTTTCACTGAAAAAACGTTCTTTAGGTATTGGGACAAACGAAAACAAATGGGAGGGTTTACCTTACGCCGGTTACTCCTTCCAGGACCAGGTTTTCAGCAGTGATGGTTCCCGTCTTGTCGAAGCAGCATACATCAACACGTCCGGCGAAGGGGATACGGAAGGGTTCGGTACAGAAGATCGCTGTAAAACAATAATAAACAGGAGTATTGGGGAAAGGTTTGTAATGTGAATTATTGTAGGGACGTACCGTATTTGCTTAAAGCTACTAGACTTGCGTTGACAGCGAGGGAAAGCTCCATAGGAAGTTCTGGGGGAACGACGCTGGTGATGATCAAGACACAGTCGAGGAGTAGTTTGCTCTTTTTGAGATCTCGTTCGATTCCTGGGAGTGGTTTTAGTGGGTTTGGGGAGGGGAGGGGAATGTATACCTTTTATCCATACGTAGGCACTGGCGGCGATGGCGAATATTAATAAAAATCCGATGAAGAGGAAGGATTCCATGTTGTTCGCGGAGACTCGTTCCGTGGAGAAGATCATGGTGCGGACCTAGAAATTGTAGAGTTAGTTGAGAGAAAAGGAGCGGTGGGTTTGGGTGACGTGACGCACTAATTGGCCTTGAGCAGTTCCGAATCCAGTTCTCAGAACGACACCTAGGCAGCCGTTGTCAGGAGTTTTCAAGGAAGGTTCGGGTACGCCATCGGCTGTTGAGGATTGAGAAAGTATGAGTTAGAGAGGAAAGGGATTTTTTTGTGAGGATATATTACCGGCAGAAAAGCCATTTGCTTGGAGAATCTTGGTTCCGCTGAACACTACACGACCCTTATGAGCTCCATCGACATCGAGACCGACTCCGCGGTCTAATTCGTCTACTAGAAGATCGACCCCTTCCTTCACGAGTGGTGTGCTTTCTCCCGATAACATCGCTTCGTTTACGATTACTTGACCATGTAAGAGTAGGATATCAGCGGGTACAGTGGTCTCTTCATGAGAATGTGCCTCTTTGGTTTCCTTCGTTTCTTTGTCTTTGGATTTAGCGTCAACGGGTTTGTGATGTAGAGGTTGATGGCGGTTGACGCTGACGATGTCACCGGGGAGTAGGCCTTCGCTCGATATCTCTTGCCATTTCGCGTCGCGGTAGGTGAAAATTGGATAGGGTTTGACAGACATGGTGCGGAATTCGGTTAGAGTCCGAACGCGCTGTTGCGATAATTAAGATCGAGGATAACACGAAGCTTCGATGGCAAGCTCACCTGCCAAACGACGGTGCATTCAAACACGACCAACATGAATAGTGTGAACAAGCTGTAGTACCAGTACTCGTCGAGGCACCATAGTGCGACACAAAAGATCTGGAATCTTGTTAAAAGGTATGGTCATTGACTTAGTTAAAATCCAAACATGCCTGGAACACGAAAAAGGGCGCGGTTGCATGTTCCGAGAACAGCTCAGTAAAAGATGGGATAGGGATATTGAACTCGTTGAGACCATAGAGTTCCTTTAGCTGTTCCGCTGTTTGTGAAGAGAGACCAAACTTGGGACCTTGAGGTTTGAGGAAGGAGCTGAGAGATGGATTGCCCGAAGAGGGGTACGGAAGCTTTATGAACGTGACGGAGTCTGACGAGCATTTGGCAACACTGTATGTGTCTCTCTGGTAGTTGAAAGTATATGAGGATACGTCTTTGGCATCTTTCTTGATTAACGGTACGATTTCTCCTTTGCCTCTATGGACCTCTGGGACAATGCGAATAGAGTCGGCTTGTTCGATAGAACGAACCTGTTGTGGATGTTGATAAGCTGAGGAAAAAGGCAAGGAATGACATTCGCACCTGGCTTGTTTCGACCCAAGCTTTTGCGGCTGTACTCCAACGAGTAACGAGGAAGCTGAGTGCGTGGCCGGAGCCAAGGGTAACGCATGCGAGAAAAGTCCACTCTTCACTGACAAGCCATTCATCGTACTTGACATAGTAGGCATACGCTAGGACAGGGTAGAGACAGAGAAAGGGCACCGTATACAGATACGTGTACCACGGCAATGATTTGTGTAGACTGGCCCGAGAGACTTCGGGCGAGTCTATGGTCACGGAGGCCCTAAGGAGATAGTGTAAGAGGCCGTACTCGAAACAGGAAGATGAACTCACATATAGTCGCAACCTAGAAGGGTGTAAAGTACGCGGTTGCCGTACTTGGACTCGGAGTAAAGGAATCGTGTAAGGGCCACGGGCGCTTGACGCTTGCTGTGTAATGCAGTCACGAGGCAAGCAATGTGCAAGAAGATCGTCATGTGCAACTTTTTTCCATGTGGCTTGGGTGTACTGTACAGTTTTTTTTCTCACAGCTGCTCTCGATCTTCAACAATCTCGACGACACAATGGTCAGTATCTAAATTCGCTGCTATGCCTCTTGGAAAGGGTCCCAAGTTGATATTTGTTCGCTCAGCCGAAGGAAATCAGTGACATCAAGCAGTTTCTCGAGATCTCAAAACGCAAGGATGCCTCCGGTATGTATTTTGTATCATTTATTGCAACTGCTTCGCCTTATCCAAAAGTCCAGAGGCCCGCATAAAAAGAATCGCTGCCAAGGGTCGCGGTGGAAAACTTCAGACAAAGTTCAAGCTAAGATGTTCACGATACTTGTACACACTGTCCCTCGATGACCCGGAAAAAGCTGAAAAGCTAAGACAGAGTCTTCCTCCTGGTACCTTGTGGTCATTTTTACGTGGGAACACCTTACTTATACTGTTGTAGGTCTCACTGTCAACGAGGTGGGCAAGAAGTAACCTGCTCGTTTATTGGTTTTGGATCGATGGGTGGAGTGGAGGTCGCCACGATATCCTCCTGGTGTCCAATTTTTGGACGTCGCGTGAAGGTCGACATGGGGGGAGTATGCATTTGTACACTATATGCCGGGCTTCGAAAACTATGCTCTATTATGCCCCAATAATGACCATACTGCCTCACTGTTGCCTCAGCGTTAGAAAATCTTTCTATCGAGCTTCAACTTTTATCGAAGCAAAATCTATTCATAGAAAGTCTGGATAAGTCCGCCGTTTCTAGGTTGGAAATTTGCAGTGAGGGTGTTTGAGAGTTGGCCGAAACTCAGGGCTGCATTGATCAGTTGGCGTTGCACAGCTTTTGCCAACTTTTTTTGATGCGATCCATTCCTATATAAGCAGCGTTACCTCGAGCCAGAACTCTTTCGAGGCTGCGCCCGAAATCATCCTCTCTTTTGCCCCTGGTTTGGGTAAAGTCAACGAATCTCTGGGAGATCGTCCACTTTTTCAGCACGTTTTCAAGCAATGGCCGTCACATCTCGAGCTCGACTATTTTGTTGCGTTTTGGCTCCTGTCATTGGAGTTCTGGTACGTATCTACCAGTAGAATGCACTGAGCGCAATCATCTCTTACTTTTATTATAACACAGGCCGCTTCCTATCTGTGGATTATCAGCGGAATCATCATTGCAATCACTGGTTGGTCGCAAGTGCATCTCGCTGGTTCATATCCCATCCCTGCTGCGTATTCCACTGCTCTGTATTTCCATGCGCTCATTTTCACACTGTTGGGTGTGATTGGAATATACGGGTATGCAATTCTTCTCTCACTCGAAATGATACTCCATCTCAACGATCTTCAGAGTTGTAGCATCATCCCTGAAGCGACCTGGCCTTATCCTTGCATACTTGATACTGCTCGCTCTGCATCTCCTTCTGAGTTTCAGCGGTGGCGGCTTTTTGCTGATGATGATCAATCGTAGCCCATCCCAAGACGAGATAACGGCATGTTTATACCAGAATCCTAACGATCCGGTGGCCACACAATTCTGTTACACACCCATTTCGATCCCACAGGGAGTAGCAGCGGCTACATACGTTTTATTTTGGATATTGGAGCTTTGTAAGACCCTTTTCGGTATCAAATCTGGCTTGTAATTGACTGGTTCACAAATAGATGCATGTATCATGATCTTCTCCTACCACGAAGAGCTGAAGCAGCGAGCAGCGAGCCCCGATCTTGAAACGAGGCCCCGACGGCCAAGTGGACCTGTGAATGCTGGGACCATCGGGGAACCTCGGCCAATACCCAATTTCAAACCGGCAACTATGGGTAGTCTGATGAGCAGTACCGGTTACCCGGTCTCCATTATCGATGGCTTCGGTCGTGTTGAGATTAACGTTGGTGGTTCGCAAGAGCCACAGGGTTTTGCGGGCGGTGTACAGCAGCATACTTGGGGGGATGGACTGGCAACGTCACGAAAGCCACTTAGCCCTCCTGCAACGCCTGTAACGCCTTCTCGACCTGACTTTGTATCAGGCATGAAGCCTCTCCTGTTGACGTCGAGACCATCTACTGCGAGTCAGCCCAACAGTCCGCACATCATTCCTCCAATCGAGATTTCAACCTCGCCTCTACATCCTCCGTATGGTTTGGGTTCAGCAGGCCTTAATACCTCGTATGCGTTTTCGAATCCCGCCAATTCCTTCGGATCGACCGCGCCGACACCAACCCAGGCGTCATTTGCGAGTAATGGTTCAGAAAATCGGTTCTAGTTGTACTTGCTGTTATGTATTCAATGAAATATCTGAAAACTCTCATTTCTTGTGCCTTTTTAACTCAAATACTTCATCGCAATTCAAGTGATCGGCTGATTGATGTAGAGTCCATCCATGATCAACGAAAGCAGGACAAATTCAAAGACTTCCATCATCAGCCTGGCTCGAACATTATTTACTGAAAGTATTGGACCAATGCTCACACAGGAAAGTCATCCTTTGCAATGAGCAATGTTATTAGGGATGAATATCAATCGATTTTTTGTTTGAATACATATTCTGGACGACATTGCCTGCATCAACCTTGTCTCAAAGAACACAATGCAAAGCATACTAAAGGAAATCCTCCAGAATACCTGTTGTGATTCAGGGAGTTGGTCTTGGTCTTGCATTATTTCAGATTAGGGAACGTACTCATTTCATACGACTCATTTCATACCACCCATACCACCCATGCCGCCCATACCTCCCATGCCGCCCATACTATTGCCTCCGGGTGCGTCTTCCCCACCCATACCAGTGGACGCACCACCAGGATGTAATGCACTCCCGAAAGTATTAGCAGTGTTTGCTAAAGCTGTGACAGCATTGAGCCCCGAGATCAGTGCATCCGTTTTTCCAGGCTTTGGGGCTGCATCAGCAGCAGGTTCCGTTGGATGCTCATTCGCCGCCTTCTCTTTAGCTTCTCTGTCCGCTTTCTCCTTTGCCTCCTTCTCTTCCTCCTCCTTTGTTTTGGGTGGAGCAGGTTGTTCAGGAGGTGCTGGGGTGCTGGGACGAGGAACCTCCCCAGCCTTGACTTCTGTGTGAGGTTCGCCGGGAGTGGGAATATTGGGATTATGCTTGTTCTCCTCCTCCTTCTTCTTCTCCTCGGCTTCTTTCACAGGGTCGGGGTGAGGGGCGGCAGGATTGGGAACTGCCTTTGCGCCAGCCTCAGGTTTGTGAGGCTCTCCTGGAACACCGTCAGGATGAGGAGCTAGCTTCGCTTCTGTTAGCGATACATGATGAGTCTCTGTCGGAGGGGATGTAGCCCCGATAGGTTTAAGCTTCTGAGTATTTGCCGCATTGGCCGCGTTCCGAAGTCTCGCTGCTTGTTTCCTCTGCTTTTGAGCATTCGATTGCCTCCGTCGATAGATATCCGCGAGGCCAGGACGGGTACTAGAGGGGGTCCGCGCATCGAAGATGTGGGAGTATCCCAATGCATTGCCACGGGCGAATATGGGATCGATGGCGGGGGCGCTGTTGGCTACGAGCGCAAGGGCGATGGCCACAAATGGAACGAGAGATTGAAAAAGCATGTCAAGGCACTTCGTATGCGAATCTGTGACAGTAGATTCAAATGAGCTGAAATCGAGCTTATTACAGAGGAATACGTACCGAGAGTGTAAGTCAAGTAGATAAAGATATTCTGCAGCCGGACCAGCCGGGGAGAAGACAACGAGCTTGCAAACAAGAAAGGTGAAAATGGGGGGAACAGAAAGCACCAGGCTTTACGAGGGGAGATTTTTTAGGCCCCGTCGGGTTTTATAACTCGCTCAACATCGCTTTGGAAAAGGACCGGCGGTCATCGTGATCAAATGTAGCTAGTCCCGACGCTGAAAGTTGTAGTCCCGACGGAGGCTGACGAAGGCCTGTAAAGAAAACATTTCAGCTTGCTCGATACGACTTTTCTATTTTCTGAATTGACAGCGTAGAGCCCGCCTTTATTCATATGCATATAATGGAAATGGCAAATTTAGTATATTGTCTGACAGAGAGGGCAAAGTCAGAAGTCAGGCCTTCAGGGTTTGAGCCGGATCCATATTGAATGATAAAGATGAAACGCGCTGACTTGCGTTCGTGGAGGTGGGTTGTTCAACCTGTGTTCAACACTGAGCAAAAACCCGGGAATCGCCGACTTGTAGCACAAGATTTGAGCTTGAGCTTGAGAACACGTACACAACGTCGTACATATAACGTCGTCGCAGGAGGGTCGGAAATATGTGGCTGTGTTAAAATTCTCTTGGACAATTACCTCCATGACTGCCGAACTCAAACGAAAACGAGCAGAAGGCTCAAGCTCCCGTAAGGTAAAATCAGGGTCCGAGCTAATTATCCTAAAATATAGTGAACCTGAACATATAATTATTCCATAGCACAGGAAACTCTCTCCAACCAACCTAAATGATGATATCTCTGCGCAAGAAGAAAATGTCGAGGAAAACGACAACGATATGGATCACAATGAAGACGAGGAATGGGGAGGCGTTCACCACGAAGGACAAGATCGCGGGAATCCTGGAGAAAAACCATCAAAACCTACAGGAGAAGAGATTCGTGCCATTAAAGATGCAAGTGACTTGTTTCGCTCAAATACGTTCAAGTTGCAGGTAAGATTTCTCTGATGTCTGATGGTTTTTACTAATACGCAGTAGATTGACGCGCTCTTACCGAATGTACAACCAAAATCAAAACGGAAACCTCCATTGGAGCGTTTCCTGCTTTCCCTACACACATTCCTCTCCAATCTCCCCGATCTTCCTCCAAAACACCCCTTGGAAGCAGCTAGGACTTTACTAAGGAAGGGTGTATCTGTGCCATATCCGACTCCGCTTCCGACTGAAGAGACGCAGTGGAAAGTCGCTTTTGGTAGTCCGAGTGATATCACGCTTATTGGAAGTTGGGCAAATAAGACTTCAGTCAAGGGTCAGGGTGGGTCCAAGTATGGAGTTGATCTAGCTGTGGAGATGCCTTCCGTGAGTTTAGGTCTCACAAAGACTACAAGATGTTGACAACAATCTTCTTTTAAAAGAACCTTTTTCAAGAAAAAGATTATTTGAATGGCCGATTCTTCCATAAAAAGGCTTTTTATCTCGCGACAATAGCTGCAGCTATTGCCAGTCCTAAAAGTGGATTGAACGTCGATGTGTCGTATATCTCCACAAACGACGACCCTCGTTTAACAAAATTGGTTTTAGAACCAAGAGCTGGTGTGTATCCACTGCCTGTGCTCTTCTTTATTTTACTGACTATACTTCCAAATACAGATGAGTCTCCGACTGATTTCACTCGATTAAATGCACGAATATACATTGTACCTACAGTCTCTTCCACCGATTCGCCAATTCCCCATCATCGATTATCCCCTGCACACTCCAATATCCGGATTATGCATGAGTCGCCATCAACTTCATCATTAGAGAACTCGACAAAAGTACCCTCACCGTTGTACAACACCGCCCTGCTCACCTCATTCATCCCAAAATCATATCTACTCTCTGTACATGCTATACAACAGGTCGTCCCGGCGTTCAACGATGCCCTTGCTTTACTTCGTGTGTGGGCAAATCAGAGGGGGTATGGAGAGAGCGGAGAAGGCGTTTCTGTACAAGGATTCGACGGTAAGGGACCCTGGTGGGCCGCCCTGTTGATGTATCTGGTTTTGGGTGAAGAAACGACTAGTGCTGGACGGAAATTTGGGGGACGAGGGAAAAAAAAACAGCTAGGAAAAGGGTTAAGCTCGTACCAGCTCTTCAGAGCAGCATTGGATTTTCTGGGTAAGGTGGAAGTTTTCATGTCTTTTACGCATTTATACATCTTCGTTTCACTCTGCAGCTAAACACGACTTTGAGAACGAACCGGTGTTCGTAAAAGCTGAAGGAGGACATCGAGTAAGTTGTCAAGGTTGGATTTTTCGGCTACCCTAGGGTTAATTCTTCTTTAGTACACTTCGGATGAATACTCGTCTACACACGACGTTGTCTTTGTCGATTCGTCGTCTACAGTGAATCTTCTCGCAGGTGTTCATCCAGGCTCTATGAAACTCGTCAGTTTAATATCTCGCCCTACAATTGAGGATATTTATACTGACAAAGTGCTTTAATTAGTTGGGCATCGATGCGCGAAGGGCTCTTGAAACGCTGAACAGCAGTTCAGCTAGTTCAGGCGACCCGTTTCCGGAGGTTTTTCTGAGCGACCATAGGGATTTACAAACACGATTCGATCTTGTGATACAGTAAGTTCAATTTCTGTCTACTTGTATAATTTAACCAATTTCCGCTAAGCGTCGACCTTTCCACTGCTAAACCCCGATCACCTAATTATCATGAAACCCTTGACTCTGGCTCAGCCTCCAACGCTACTTTATCATCTATATCATCTGTCCTCACACAAGCTCTGGGGGACCGTGTTAGGGTGATTGCGATCTTACATCCAACACCTAACACTAGACCATTATCCCAAGCACATCCATCGACATCGCACATCATTCATATCGGACTCATATACAATCCCGTTCATGCCTGGCGACAAGTTGACCATGGTCCGAATCCCGCATCGGATCCGGACCCAGTCGCTGTAGAGCAGTTTCGCGAATTCTGGGGTGATAAGGCGGAGCTGAGGAGGTTCAAGGATGGGAGTATAGTGGAGAGTGTGGTGTGGGATGTGAAAACTATTGATGAGAAAACGTTGATACCGAGGAGGATCGTGGCGTTCGTGTTAAAGAGACATTTCGGGATTGGGGAGGAAGGTGTGAGGGGATGGCAGGAAGGGTTCGACGGGGTGTTGAGGCTTCCTGAGTCAGTGTCGAGGTTTTATGTCGGGGAGAATGGGTTGGGGGTGGGGGTAGGATTCAAAGCTGCACTCGGAGCGTTTGATGGGGTGGTTAAAGCTATCAAAGTGCTTTCCTCGGATGAAGGGGGGAACGACGCGTTACCGTTGTCAGTCATGAACATCAGCCCTACCTCAGAATTTCTGAGATACACAAGTGTCTTCAGCCCCGTTCCTCTCCCGGATTCCATTGCGTCGGTTCTATCTATGAATACGCGGTATTTGAACCCGATAGAGTTTGTGATCGAGTTTGAGAGGAGCTCAAGGTGGCCGGATGATTTGAGGGCAGTACAGAAAGTGAAATTGGCGTTCTTGGAGAAGATTGCGAGGGGTTTAATGGGCAGGGTTCCAGGGTTAAGAGCAGCTGTTATAGTGGGTGATGCTGCTGGGACGGACGACATGAATGATGTTGCCAGATTGGAAATTGTTACGGAGGAAGGATGGGCATTCGTTGGAAGGATATGGCATGACCGGGAAGCAGTTTTGCTTGATCGTATCATCAATAACACGGCTTCGACGTTGCCGCATGTTACCCGCAAGGACAAATCTCAATCACAACGGCAAGGAAAAGATTATCATACGGCGATTCAAGCTCGGGAATCTTATACGCGACTTTATATCCACGCACCGATGCACCATCGGGCGATTGCGAAGCTGTGTCATCATTTCCCAGCTTTTGCGGGGACGGTGAGGATTGCGAAGCGGTGGTTCGCTGCGCATTGGTTGCTAGGTGGGGCTGATGGGGGTGGGGGGTATGTGTCGGAGGAAGCTGTAGAGCTTCTTTGTGCGAAATTCTTTGTGAAAGAGGGCTGGGAGGCGGAGATGGATAGGGATATAGAGGAGGAGGAGAAGGATGCGGAAAAGATCGAGCAGAGAAAGATGGTGGTTCCAGGGAGTAAAGAGCGTGGATTTGCTTCTTTGATCCAGTTCATCAAGGAGTGGAATTGGGATGAGCAAGGAGAGGGTATCTTCGTACCTCTGTACGGGTCTTCTTCTATCCTGGGACTGAAGCAACCCAAAGCCGTGTCGTCGATGAGCACAGGAGTGTGGAAGATTCGAACGGCAATGGACGAGGAGGGTTGCATATGGACAATGTTTGGACCTGATGCAATCATTGCGAGACGGGTGAGGGCCCTTGCGCAGGCTACGTGGGGATGTTTAAAGGGAATGGAGATGAACGGGATGAGTGGGGGAGGAAGTGTTTTGGTGAGTAAATTCATTTTGGTGTTTCAATATGTGTCTAAATTGGCGTTGATGATCAGACCATATTCGATCATCCCACCGATGACTACAATGTTATCATCGACCTAGATCGCACAATCCTCTCGAGGTATCATCAGAACATTGCACCGGATGTATCGCAACTTTCGCAGCTTTTACGACGAAAGAAATCTTCAAATGAAGATGAGCTCGCTGCTGCCCTAGGTGGGAAGATCAGGCCTGGGTTCGATCCTGCGATGCTGCTATATAAGGATTTAAAGGTGAGACTGCTCTCAAAACTCATCGTTGGTAACTCATTGACGGGGGTGTAGCGAGTGTATCAGGACACCTTTCGAATTTTTCACGATCCTTTTGGTGGAGATCGCTTCGGAATTGTTTGGGATCCTTCTCTGAAGCAGCCGCGACCTTTTAGGGTACTTGGCAGTTTCTCGTTTTGTGTCACATCTTCTGCTGAGGCAAAGGCGAGTCTCAGTCCATCGCTATATTCTTATTGTCGAGTTCTTATTCACGCCATCAGGGTAAAAAAAGTAAAGATAAGGATTCAGTGGTATTGAATGAGCAAGGTGTGCTGGGAGAGATTGAAAGGATGGGGAGAGGTATCATTAATGGAATAACTATCAACGTTCAAGAGTAGCAGGATTTTTTTGACTTGTGATCTATTTGGTTTGTTCCTGCAAGTTTTCTAATTGCGCAAGGCGATTTAACTCTACTGCCCATGAACCGGTAACATGTAGCTTTATCTTAGAAGTATCTAGCGCAAATTGTATGTGGCATACGGAATAGCAATAGAGAACGCACTGCGAAGGTTGCGATGATCAGCTTTGACCGCTGTAAGCGTCGGCAAATGACTCGGGTCAAGTCATCAAAAATGATTGCGTTCCAGTCATCTTTGTTTTCGTACATATCTTGCCCTCCGACCTCAGTGTGCGTATTTCTCGCCTCATTAACTGCTATATCTTAGTCTCGCATATTAGGAACATGCAGAACTGATTGAGCGTGTAAATATTTCGCTTTTACTCACCAAACACGATGATCCCTCGAATACACAATTGATTCTCCCTCGAATACCCCGTAATACACCGATTCAACTCAGCGAACACGAACACAGGATATCAGACCAGGATAATACGAGATACCCATCGAATCGTACATATTCTACGCAGCGAAACACCATAGAAATAAAACAATGTTCGGCGAAGATGAATCTGAAAGCCCCAGGGTACCTAGTCCTTGGGAGTCAATTATAGAGTTGTCTAGGATTGGCACACCTGTGGAGGGCCGAGGGCCTTCTCCATTGACCAACGAGATGGATACATACTGTCACTCCTTGAATTCCCCCGCCAGTATTCTTCCTTCTCTCCCGCCTGAAAACGATAACGGCTCGATTGAATACAAACTCCGACTTATTCATCCCTCTCCCGCTCGGTTTACCAGGCTTGTCACTCAGCTCAAATGGCGGCTACTTGAAGGTGGCGGCAGAGCGTTGTATGAACTGGGTGTAGGTGACGACGGAGAGCTTGTTGGTCTTGGGAGGAAGGACATGGAAGAGACTGTCGACGTCTTGAGCAAGATGGCGGGTGAACTTGGAGCGAGAGTTTGGGTTGTTAGGGAAATTAGGGTTGGGAGAGGTGCTGGAGGTACTCGTTTTGTTGCGGACGAGCCTTTCATTTCGAATCATTTGGCTCTTCTGGATAACTCTGAAGCCATGCCTCCCAGTGTACTCGGTAACATGCATATCTACGACATATTCAAGCCGAGGCCTGTGATGACGAGGGCCCAGACCGAGATTGGAGTATCTATGCACCCCAATAATTCTACGTCCTCGATATTCCCGACATCAACTTTGGACCAACTTGACAACGCCATAGGTGGCTTTGGTTCCGGCGCGAAACACTACCACAAGTCCAAGAAGGAGAGGAAACAGAAGGGGAAGAAGTATCACCTGAATTATGAACCACCGGGGGGACCTCGATTTACAAGCGCAAGTAATGTCGATGAAAATGTTGACGCCCAGCACGCTGGCACGCAGGTTCGTTGTTTTGTGAATCTCTTACGGTCGTGACATTGATAATCCTCAGCAGAAGCCCAACGGTCCGAATGGTGTATATCTTCGTACTCAACCTCATAATCGAATTCATCCCCAAGCACATAGAGGTCGAAACACACAATCCGTATCAAATTATTCCAGCCATTCAAATTCCTACACGCAATCTCACCTTTCTCTCAATCCTAATTTACTTCCTATACGTACCGCCGATGCCGATGCCAACTCTTCCCACAGACACTATGCTAATGGAAGTGTCGTTCCTCATCTTGCTCATGCTGATTTGGGGTCAAATGGAATCAGAGGAGGCAGAGCGAATAGGAGAGAAGTGAGAGATCGACGGAGGGCAGAGAAAGCCAAGGGGGGAAAGGAGAAGAAAGCGCTAGCCATTATTACAACGCCGGAAAATCTGGTGCCTGGGAGTTCTGGTGCTCCTCATTCAGCCGGCAATTCGATTTCTGGTGTGGCCGCGCTATACGTCGATGCGGGCAATGACATCTCTCCGTCCGTTGATACCTGTATCAAGTCCGAGATCACTGGTGGTGTGGAGGTCGTAAATCGTGTTGAAATTGATGTAGAACATCTTCGTAACGACGATGACGATACGGGAACTACATGTGCCCAGATGAAGGCCAATGTCGGGATGAAGGCAGAAAGGAATACAAATCAGCCGAATTCGAAGGAAGGCCCTCACATCCGGACAAATGGGTGCCATAGCCAGAAAAATCGATTTGACAACGCGCTCGACGTACGCCCTCGAGATCGTGAACGGAATGGGTTTAGAGGCAAAGGAAATTCAGGCGATCAAGATGATAGTGAGTATGCACCACTTGAATGAATTATGTGAGGATTGCTCATGAAGATTTCTTCACTTCCTTTTCTTGTTCGGGACTTTTTCAATGCACTTCTTTTTCGCATCATGAACTCCTCCCTTACTTTTGCTTTTTCGACTGTCATCTTCTTAGTTGTTACACCCCAGCTCCACATTGATAAGCCTCGTGCCAACCGAAGAGTCCATTACAATGTATGGAATGCAAGTAAGGCGTTTGAGGCGGTGGCTGAAACTAAAGAGGATGAGAAAGAAGATAACAGAGAAGGAGATGACAAAGATGAACCGCGACTCATAATTGAAGCACTTGTGATCAGGAACTTTGAGATTGGAGAAGCATTCTTGGATTTTGGAGGTTTTGGTGGGCTTGAAGCAATTGAAGACCTGGGTGGTGTTAATGGAGGGAGCTTTTCTGGATAGGCAGGGAGGTCTGGGGAGGTTGAGCCTTATATTTTCTTATTGGTATCTGTGATAGCTTTCATTTGTGTATTGTAATAAAGATACTTGGGAAGAAGGTGAAGAATCACAGTCATCTATGGGTCCTTTATACAAACTTTGGAAGACTTCAATTTGAATACCTTCAGCCTCGGAGTTCTTATGATTAGACTTTAGAAAGTTCATCTATCATAGTATATAGTGGGGGGTGTTCAACTGAGCTAGCAAAAATATCACCCATTTGAGGGGGGTGAATATTACCTTACTGATGCTGGACATGATTCAATGATTTGTATGTTATCATATTGAAAGTTGGAATGAAAATAGCTTGCTTGGAGGATCCATCCACAATGACTAGAATTGCTGTACAGCCATTTGACATTGGCAATTGCTCAATGAAGTCCATGAAGATGGTGTTAAAGGAGACTGCACTTGTTGAAGTTGAAACACACTGGAGCACCCATATTGAGAGTATATTGGCTGGGCACGGAAACACTATTTAGATGACTCCTACATCCTCACATATACCCTCAATATCATTTCACTCACTTCACATTTCCTTCCATATATAAACCAGCTTACTCTATATAATCACTACATGTTTGCCTTGTTCCCATATCACTGACATCCCTTTCTTCACAAACCTATAGTACAATTTCTTTGACTACCTACCATATTTTTCCTTTATCTTCATACAGTATAAGATTTGTCTTGGGATGCCAAGTAGATCATGAAGTCTCTGGGATCTTACCTCTATATTCAAATTGATTCTCTTCCCCGCTCATCCTTAATGTTTGATATACAACTGGAGCCCACTGCAACACCAAGTCTTTGACTTGGTGATCATACTCAACAACCTACATACACCCGCATGACCGACCACATGCACAACCAAATGCACAAATAAACACCATTTCCTTCTCAAAGCCAAAACCCTTGGTGCAGGGACGAGACTCCAGGGTACGATTCACTGCACACAGACAGAGTACTGCAGCTAGTACCTCCCTTCCAATCATCTGCCAACCACTGTTGACTTTCCCTGACATTACATCCCACGATGATAATGATTATACCTTACTGTTAAGATCATGTACACCAGAAAGCCATGCCAAGGGCCATTTGGTGTCTAAGGGCAGAAGGTCAAATGGGACAGTGGTGAGGTTATTGACCACACCGCCATTATGCCACTATTCCCCAGAGATCAAGAGTAGGAAAGAGGTACAAGAAGCAGCTAAGTTGGTAACAGCAATAATGCTAATGATATGGAGCGGACAAAAGAACTTATAAGTCCTGAGGTCAGAGTAGAGAGTACTCAAGGGAAGGATACTTAAGACCTCAGAGGAAGAGAGTGTCAAGTCCATGCCTCGGTACCCCACTCCACTGCTTGGTAGTTTGAGATCTACTGTTTATTGTAATCTCATCCTTATTGTTCTTTCTTGCTACACATTCCCTTTCTACCTAGTCTCTTGGTGTAGATGGGAAAGTCCTTCCCTTTGAAAGGGAAAGAAGGATGAAGAACAATCTTTGTCTCTTCTGTGGTGGTAAGCATCAGATTGCTGACTGCAATAAGCAAAAGGCCCGAGAATCGAAGGGCTGTGCTGCTGAAGTTGAAGAAACCCCCAAAGCAACGTCGATCGTTGTTGAAGAGGAATCAGAAAACTAATCCGCAGCTCTTGCTCCCCGGTATGAAATGGGAGCTGCATTGATCAGGTTTGTACCTCATGTTGAAGGAGACTGCACTTGTTGAAGTTGAAACACACTGGAGCGCCCTTCAGCTAACCCAAACAGTATGCCACCCAGCTCAATGCAGAGAATGTCAATGCCTTAATACAAGCTCAGTAGGTTGTGCTACAGAGTCTTGTAGTTGCTCAGTACTCCAATAAACACAGTAACAATGACCAGAGTCAATATAGTATGAGTATTGATTTGTATCTTTCAACTATAGTAGGAGTACAGGTTTGTTTGGTCTTGTATGTACTAGAAACGCATGAGGCATGATAATAGGTGTCCACAATTGTGCGCACCTATGAAAACTAACTAACTACAGTAACACTAAAGAAATAGCTAAGTTATGAGTTGTAAAACTAAGTAATGATGTCTGTAAGTACTTTATACACTGAGTAAGTCACTACAGTGATAACTAGGAGTGATGAAGCGCTGTGTAATGTATGTAGAAAGTGTTCTATCACTACAGTATGCTCAACACCTCAGCTGATGAGTTATATCTCAACGCATCTGCTCTTTCTTCTATTGAATGATCTCTTGTAATATCATTAACTACTGAATTTCCATTATCCGATTCGGCCGCGCCGGCCGAACCTATCTCTGCTCTTCTTAAATTTCCTACTCTTGTTGATTCTAGTTCTACTGACTCTTGCATCAATACTCGTTATGTTTCTCAAAATTCTATTCCTACAACCAAAATCTCTCCTGTTAATCTTCGTCTTTTTGATGGTTCATTATCTTCTAAACCCATTACCAATATGGCAAATATCACCGTTCGGTTCCCTTCTGGCGAGCTGCTTCTATTGCCCCTTTATGTTACTCATTTAGATTCATCTTGTAAAGCAGTATTAGGTTACAGTTTCTTATCCCGCTACAATCCGTTGATTGACTGGGCATCTCGAAACATTACTTTCTATAACACTTCATGTTGAGCATACTGTAGTGATAGAACACTTTCTACATACATCTACATACAATACACAATGTCTCATTAGCTATAGTTATCACTATAATCATTAGTTTTAGTGTACAAAGTACTTACAAGACTCATTTCCGAGTTTTTCAACTTTTACAGTACAAGTTTCTTTAGTCTTGCAGTAGTTAGTTAGTTTTCATAGGTGCGCACAATTGTAAACACCCATTATCACGCCTCATGCGTTTCTAGTACATACAAGACCAAACAAACCTGTATTCCTACTACAGTGGAAAGATACAAATCAATACTCACTCTATATTGACTCTGGTCATCGTTACTGTGTTTATTGAAGTACTGAGCAACTACAAGACTCTGTAGCACAACCTACTGAGCTTGTATTAAGGCATTGACATTCTCTGCACTGAGCTGGGTGGCATACTGCTTGGGTTAGCTGAAGGGCACTCCAGTGTGTTTCAACTTCAACAAGTGCAGTCTCCTTCAACACTTCACACTTTGATTCTCCACAGACGTCTGTGCCTTCTGCCACCAACACCGTTGATGCAAAGGTCGCTGTTCCACTACCGGAACCTTTGCCATCAGTTTCACTGACAATTCTGGACACCCCTTCTGGGGATTCACTTCGCTCTCACTCTCGCTCCCGCTCTCGGATGTTACGGGCCAAGCCCCTCTTGTCTAAATTCCCCTTTGAACCCATCTATTCTTATCCTACGGTCTCTCAATTCACTGCTCAACTGGAAATTCCCAAGGTCAACATTGCACTTGTCAGTGCTGCAGTCTTTAACAGGGCTTGCAAGGACGCTAGTATGGAGCCTATCCTTCTTCGTGCTATTCACTCAGAGGTCGCGGCCCGCACCACCGACCGCTCCTCCACTGCTCCTACTGTCTGTCATGCCTCACCCCGAATTCCTTAGCCCATAAGCTCTCTAGCATAGCTCCCGATCTCCTCAGACCCCTTCCACGAATCCCTGAGAACACTTCAAACGTCCCACAGACCTCCTTACCGCTAGAACCACCTCTGCAACCCTTAGCTCCCCTCCATTCAACCGAATCATTCCACGACAGGGTCCTGGAACCCCGTACATGCGTCCATCATTCCATCCTCATGTACTTAGAATCCCCATTAAGTGCTCGCTTCATACCATGTCTCCTTGTTAACTTCCTCATACGTATTTAATCAGTCCAGGAGCGTTCAGAAGCCCAGCTTGGTATATTTTGAACACACACCCTTTACATAGGTCCAGTCCCTGTCCCTTTGTACCTGCTACCTATACGGAATTCTCTCTACTTTCTGTTTCTCTACCTCTGTTTCTCTCTACTACTGTCTATTGTCTCTCTGATCGTCTATACGATTGAATATACGCTTTTACTTCAAGTCTAAGCCTTCCGAGTGAGTCTCCGAGCTCCCTCGAACATTACTAAAGCTCCCCAACGCCTACCCGCTTGGTGAGCTACCCTTCCCCAAACCTCCCAGAGCTCCCTAGCTACTTCGTAAGCTTCGGGACCTCGATCTAGGTAACGTCGAATCTACCCCTCACGTCGAACTACGTATTGCTTCTCCGTTACCACCTCCCACACTCGAGGACGACCATCCTCAAACCTAGCCCCCAGGGACCTACCCTCCCTGGCGTATCCCTTCTCGGGAGCTTACACCCTCGAGACCCAGTTGCATAAACTACCTACTCGATCCTATATTGACGTTCTAGCGAGTACAACTCCTACTACGCAATATCGTACGGTCCCGCACTCTTCCTGAACCTCCCTACACGTTAGGGACCTCCCTGGACCTCCGAGGAACCCCTCAAGGGTCCCCCTCTCATCGTTCCAACCACTACTAGGTCATTCCCGTCCTCGGTCGCGGTTCTCGTAGCTCCCTTCGAGCTCCAGCCTGCTCCTAGCACGCTACAACATAAACCTCCACATACCAAAACCTACCCTAAGACCCATTTTGGCCCAGGTCTTACATTATACCAAGCTCTCCCGTCACCGAATGGACTCGTCGCGACGAAATGTCGGCGACGTCAACGGAACGACCTTCTAGTTCCAAGACCGAATCAAAGAAACAAAAGAGCGCCTTATCTCGTGGAAACACGACACAAGCTCATAAATCGAACCAGGCTGCTAGCTCCACTGTCATCACGGTGGCAGCTGGTCAACGCCTGATGTCCATCCCAGAACAGTCGTTCGGGGATGAAACCGCCAGCAACATCTGGACCCCAGAGGGACGTCAACCGGAGGTTCAGGGGCCCCCTCCAGTGGAACCTGGGATGGGACCACCACAACGGAGGTTTACCTCCATGGGTTACGCCCAACCTGCCAGTAGTCC